CCATCCGCCAGCGCAATTCCGGGGCTCCATGGCGCAATTCGAATACCTCCGGTGAGCCCGCCAGACAAATTCAAGACCCCGACGGAACAATTCTTTTGTCAGGAATAAAATCCAGGCCAATTCTGCGACAGAGCTCTTCCCTAATTCCAGCCCGGATCCTACCCTCCTCTGAGGCCTTGTGTCCAGTGAAGTTTGTACGGCCTGGCCGAGTTCTTTTTGATTAAATCCCACAGTGTTGTGCGGGAGGCGTTCCTAGGGGTGCTGCACTCGACCCGTTCGGGGTCCACTGTAACCATCGCATTCCCACCTGGGCGCTTCGCGCTGGGGCCCCGGCCCAAAATTACGAAATTAAAAAATATTTAGCCAGAAGGGCCGATTTCCGCTTTTCCACAGCCGTTGTGCGTCAGCTCTTTGCGTTACAAAAGCATGCTCATTCGCACCTAACGCTAAGATTCGCATCGTTACGCGAACTAACGCGGAGTTAACGCGATCACCCGTCGTCATAGTGATAGTAGCTGGTACACAGTACGGCACACATATCAACTATAAATACGCGCGAAACACTTGACCAGCATCTCGAGAGGCCAGCTACTACACGCTATAGGTCATCACGAAGCCTGCTGCTGCTTACTTAAAAACGCCTCCGAAACCTCATGATACACTTGTTATAAAGAAAAAAAGTAGCAGTGCAGTAACAGCAGTTGCGACGCCTCCGCAAAACGTTTGCTTACATAAACACACGGAGGCACATACATACACACATACTCTCTTCCACTGCCCACTATCCCGCGAGCCAGCCAGCCAGGCCTGCATCCAGCCAACTGGAAGATATACATGTATATCATGTATATCAGGCGGGCTAGCTTCTGCTTACTGCTGGGTCGCATCCGCCCCGTCCTGCATGCCCACCCATCAGCTCTTCTGCAGCTGCTGTGCATATCCATTGCCCTACTACTCATTCCATTAGACCGGCTGGTACCACTCCGCGTAGCCCTCTTTAAAGGCGACATGCTTGTAGTTGCAGTGGTGCATGTGACCCAGCTCGTAACCTGTGAAGTAGTAGCCGCGCTCGCGGGTGGCCTGGATATTGTCTGTCCTGCAGCAGGTACGTAGGTAGGTATATATGTCGGTCTGCATGAAACGGACCATCAACCAGTCAAGATACGAGTCAAATTATTAGATGACATAGCATGCATGCGGATGTAGTACATGTACTACTGTACAGTAGTACAGTACAGCACACATCGTCTAGATATAAATATATGCTAATAAGGCGCTCTACCAGCATCTTGAGCAAGAGGCCTATATATCGGCCAGCTATTACAACGGCCAGGAATACTAATTCAGCAGCGCTAGCTGCCATAATGTTATACATAAACATACAATGCGTGTGCATTTTAAAATTCCGGGAGCAATGTGCACGAGATTGGCTGATTGGTTGGTTGGTTAGTTAGACGGAGAGAGGAATGGCTGTCCCTAGTAGGGGCAGCCATTCTTGCAGTCCGCTGTCACGGCCTGCATGCGTGTAGATGCATGTAGTACCACCTACCGCACACACTGAAAACATAATAAATAAACCGTGTGCATGCTCCGAGTGAGCTACCATAAGGAAAGATTTTCAGATACATTGCGTCGTACATTCTTTCCCGTACATACGTACGTGGGGCAGCATATGCTGATGTACGTGTGCTCATCCGCCCTGACAGCAATGGGGAGAGAGCGCGGGAACCGCACGGGCGTCCTGGTCCAGGTGCGCTCTTCCGCCTGCCGGAATACACACGGGTAGTTGTCCTGCAGGTACGGCATCAATGTCGGCAGCAGCAAGGGTCATGATGGCAGGCATGTGAATGATGATCGGGCATGTACGAAATGTATGGGGCCAAATTCACCCAATGCACCCTACATATCATGAAAAATGAAAACCGCGACTGCTGCTCTTGCTACTGCTGCAACTGCTCCTACTGCCATTACAAGCACCAGGGCTCCGGTTCCGGTGGCTTGGCAGCGGGAGAGCCGGGTGGACTGGTCCTGGCTAGCAGGGTCACTGCTGGCTGGGCTGGGCTGGCCAGTCACAAACTGTGGTAGCCGGTACACCGTACGGCACCGTGAACAACCACAACTACGCGCTAAGCGATCCGCCAGCATCTCGAGAGGCCTTTCCAGCAGAGGCCAGCTGCTATACAAACAATAAACTTGCCCTAGCCCACGATGATATGACACATGGTTGCACACAGTTGCGTAAATACATAGGTGCATACATGCCAGAATAAAGTCTGCACCACGCCCGTGGGCAGCCTCTATTCCTCCCGCTTCTTGCTGGCATATATTCTGTGTATGTATATGTTTGTATGTATGTGGCCCCACACGCGCACATAATACATGCAAACTACCTACCTGCACCCATGACAGGTACGACCAGAACTCCGAGAAACCCACAAGCACCTCGCCGATGTCCTGTACACACATCCATACACACATCCATACGCACGCACTTGGACTACTTGCTAATTAATTTTACAACACATACGTACATACAAAATACACACATACATGCATGCACGAGGTGTTTGCAGATGGGGGAGTTGAAAAATTAAGTTCAGTAAGAAGTGGGAATCGATGGATACAACGCAAAATATTACGATTCTAAAGCAACTAGCCCTCGCCTTGTCTTGCGTTATTACCTAGCGTGCCGCTGCTAGCTGGATCCCACTGATGGATTACATAGATAAGAAGATACGAACTCTACACCGCCGACAGAACTCGACATAGCTCATAACCCCATATTCAGCACCAATCCACCTGATCCAGATCTAGATCCAGATGCAGATCCAGGTCTAGCTCCACATTCAGGCCAGATGCAGAATCCGGAATGCATGTCCGGAACTTCAGATAGATGACAACGGCCCAGCATCCTCACCCACAGCGTCACTACTAGGCAAGGCAAGATCCCGCCCCAGACACAACCAACCCAGATCATGAGCTCGGTACACCCACCCGTAGCTTGCTGACAGCGTCTGCAATGGACAGAGCCCAGCCATGAGGTATGCCCGTGTACGTGTCGTACGTGATATTGGCCAAGAACTCCGCCATGTACGGCTTGTACACCAAGGTGCTATGCGTGACTAGACTCTTGTTGTCGTGCCCGTAGATAATCTGTCTGCCCGTCAGATGCGCGTACGTGTACATATAGCCATATTTTGGTAGGAAGCCCCCGACATTGACAAGCATGCGGAATGGATGTGGGTTGACGCAGCCCTCCTCACTCTTGCCAGGTACAGGGCGGACAGCTGGGTAGGGCTTCGATAACGATGATGATGACGATAATGGTAATCGCGATTGTGATAAGTCGGTTGGGGAGTCATTATTGTTATCCATAGTGCTGCCAGTTTCAGAAGAGTCCAGGGGAAGGAACCATGTCAGCGGGCGAAGAGCGATCATATCACCTGCAAGCCGGCGGCCGCAAGAAATGGATCCACTCGGAAGTCCATCAATTTTAAGTGAACTTTGGTTCCCCTTTAGGGGATGATGCCCACATATGGTAGGCGACTTTTGCGTGGGCAGGCTGATAAAGCAGAATGCGATTGTTACAGTGGACCCAAGGGGTCAAGTGCAGCACCTAGGAACGCCTCCCACACACACTAGTGCGGCATAAACACGTCGGTTACCGACCGTTTCCAACACTGCCGGGGTTCGCTAACCGAACCGACCGATTAACGATCGTTAAAAACACGTTAACCAGTCAGTTGGGTTAACAGTCAGTTGGGTTAATGGTCAGTTGGGTTGATGGTCAGGTAGGCTGGTGATCAGAGTGGCTGTCTTGATCTCAAGGTAAACATGTAATTACATCTAACCCATCGAGGCCATACGTGCATATCTGTCACCCCTGTCACCCAGCCATGTCACCTTATCAATCTATCTAGTAATCAACACTGCCTGCCACTCAGGTTAAACAGGCTAGGTTAGGTATGCCATAGTGCACATGTACAGCTGTACTACATCATCATGTCAATTCAACCTTAATGGCAATTTATGGCAATAGCTGTCGTGTGGCCATGCCTGGTTACCAACGATGGTTACGGGAACCGCGGACGATTACTGGCTAATGGTTGATCCGGTAATCTTACTGGCCCAGTAACTGGGCCGGTGGGTGGCAACTGGGCCGGAACCGGCTTGTTGTTGACGTTGTTACAGGGTGGTACAGCTTCACTAGTGGCCTCCTTCCCGAGGCATTTCCCTGGTCTCCCCTGCTAGAGGGGCACCCTAGTCCGATCACCCCATCCGACTTCAGAATGTACTCTTTGGGTTCGGCAGCTCACCACAAACATCCATCCAAAACTAGCGGATCTACGGCGCCACAACTCCATTTCCGGTCCGCTCGCGAGGTACACCCTGTGCTGACCACACATTGGGGGACCATCTCCCATTTCATCACCTCTCACACACCGTGGGGTCAGAAGGTGGATTTGAGCCCAGGTCCTTCAGAAACAGAAGTTAGGCCTTAACCTCTGCCAGCCACCTGGCTTGTTCTATGTTATAATTGTGTGCTGAAGTACTGTAGGCCTTATTCAGAAACTTAGCCAGGCCGTACTATCTTCACTGGACACAAAACCTCAGTTCCCTAAGGCACTGATTGGGTCAGTAACCCATGGGTAACCCATGGATTACCCACCTTCAACCCCCGGTAGCCCATTGGTAACCCCCTTGTAAGTTCCTACCCAGCGGGAGGGGTAACACGGGCCCAGGGTAACCCCCTCCGTTGCCCTGGACTATGGACATAGGCCTATAGGCCTATAGGCTACTCATGTTATTTGCTGCGCACTTCGTGAATTCCTCTTAGTACAATGCGCTATAAGATCATTACCGCGTGTTTTAGTGGGGGTTTCCGCTCCTTAGCTAGTAAGAAAGGCTAGTACCTTGCCAGTACCTTGCTAGTACCTTGCTAGTACCTTGCTAGTACCTTGCTAGTACCTTGCTTGTCCATTGCTTGTCATGTGTGTTTCACCACGCCCTCATGCAGCGATCGTTGCAGCCTGTATAGCAATGTGGCACAGATGTGACCTCGCAGTGTGCTACATCGTTCAGGGGACAGAACAGACACGTTTTGACGTTCAGAGCTTGGCCAGGCTCTGAATCCCAGCATAGATGCCGCCCAGCATGGTGCTGCACTTAAGATTGTATCAACCTCCGTGCTGCCACGCAAGGCTTAGCACCTGTGGGTGTGGTGGGTCTGATGCAGCTCGGGCGCCAGTGACAGCGCCAACAGGCGAGGCAGCGCCACCACAGCAGCAAAATCCGCCAGCGCAGACCCAGCCGCATTCATACTCAGCACTTCTGGTCGCTTATGGTCTTTGCTGAGCGTTCAACGTCTTATACAAATGTACAAATGGCACCCAAGTTACGCCCGCAGGCGCCCACGCGATAGGTGTAAGAAGGTTCAGCTCCCTTGGCATCTCCCTGAGTACTCTTTGCCTGGTATCACATTGGTGCGAATAGCTAGGAGGTGGGAACTCTCCGGATCGAATCCGGTTATGAAATTTTGCACACCAGGCATGTTGCAGCATCCTCTTACCCCATAGGTGGATGCCCAGGTGGGCGAGAAGTCTACCAGCACAGTCAGGTGGACGGGGACTGACGAAATGCCACAATAACAAACTAACTTATAATCCTACGGGATCTCAAACAACCTAAACCCTACGGGATATGCCTGGGGCCGCCTGAGGACGTCCGCTCGAGGGGGGAGGAATGTAAGAAGGGTTCAGCTCCCTTGGCATCTCCCTGAGTACTCTTTGCCTGGTGTTACAACAGCATCCCTGACGCTGTCACCACACACCAGTGCTTCGACATCCACACACTCCGAATCATCACCGGGCCCGCCCACGGACATTTACATCTTATGGGTGCAAATGAAGAGCGCTTCACCTACCGGTGGTGCCCGCGAAAAGGCCATACCAAGCGGAATCGGCAGCAGCAGTTCAAAACCATTGACATACAAGTACGTGCCACCCCGTCTTTATGCTTACAGCACGTTCCCAGGCATGCGGCAAAGTCTCCATGGACGATGCTCTTGCCCATGATCATAAGTCCACCTGGCACTACTTTCCACTCCAAAGCTTATCTCCATACAAGATGACCTCGTCCGCTGTTTGGCCCGCACCAATTCCTCATGCAGGCAAAAACTCCTGCTTTCCAGCTTCTGCCTGCATGACGAGGCCGCACGCTTTGTGAACTACACCAACGTGCAGTTAAACACCGAGCTGGAGCGAGGAAGGCAGCACCACGTGACATTTGAGGCAACTTATGGCTCCAAGCCCGCCACCAGTACGTTGTCGCACGTTGTACGATAGTCTGTCACCCAGCTACACTTGTTGGTGCTTTCAGGACTCTGCTGCACGTCGTGCCATTTAGGTGACTGCACACCACCACCCATGGCCATGCTTCACACATCGGCACATCCCACTATCGCACGATCTTTACCTACATCACGTCCGCACCTTCTGCAGCCGTCCTCTACACCATCAAGCGCATCCACGACGGCGAAATGCCAGAGTTCCACACTGCACTGTACTCTGATGTTATAAGGCTGTGGATCACGTCTGCGGGCTCCCTGCAGGCCGAAACAGGCATTCAGCTTATCTACGACTTCAGCATGCACGCTGCCGAAGTCCTTGACTTGTCCCAGGAATTCGCCATGTCAGTCCTGGAAGCGGTGACAAAGACCAAGGCGGATGGCAAACAGCTGCCTTCCCCACCGCCAAAACGCCCAAGGTCACCATCTGATGGTGCAGAAGATCCCCCCCCCACCACCACCCACGGCAAAAGTGCAGCTGCAAGCACGTGACTAAACGCAGTCACGTGCATCGACAACGGCCGTGTGTATGCGGGCCAATCCGTCAATCCCCATCGACGCTTCAGCACCCATGCCCGGTCCCCACCCAAGCGCATGCAACCAGACGCTGCAACATACCAGCCCTTCCAACAGCACTTCCGGTTGGCTCTACTCATGTCCTGCCAGAGCAGGAGTGTGCCGACATCATGGAGGTGTACTACATTGACAAATTCCATGCCATGGGACCTCACGGCTACAACATCATGCGCGCCACGTGCATGTCCAGCACTGCATGCACGCCTCACTGACAGCACCACCCGCATGATATGGATCAAGAACAAGATGTAATTACGGGACACATCCAGGGTTCTTCACCAGGGTACCCAAAAATTTCGGCCGTGTCCGAAACCCTCTGAATAACCTTTCGGGGCCCTCCCCGATAATTTTCCTGTCAGCCGGAGAGTGTTTTCGGGTACCCCGAAACTGTCTGAAGCGGTTTTCGGGGTAAAATTTAGCTGGATTCTATCGTTATATGCTAGGACGGCTGAACTAACAGGTGACTTTATTTTGGAACATAGCTCCAGGGAGAAGTATTTCAGCAAGGATTTTACCCAAAGCAAGGCCATCTTAGACTTCATAACTGAAAACTCTTTCTAAAAAACGTCAAGTTCGCTGACATCGAAGGCAAACAGGCGGTTCGAGCTTGCCGAAGCCGCGAATCCCGAGGGAGATGCGGGGCACCTTGATTGGGCGCTCATCATCAGTTGACTAGGGCATGTTTAACTATGCATATGCTTAGATGTATGAAAATGTCTGCGATACAGCTGCGAAACAGCCGCAATGCACATTTGTACTTGTTGTTTTACTGGTGACCAAGCGGGCCTTATACGGCAAGCCCGGTTTCCAGGCCCGTCTGCGCCCGAAAACATGCAAATTTACGCTGACATATCGTTCGGTTTTCTCCGAAAAAGCTTTCAAAATGCTTCGGTGGGGTCCCCGAAAAAATGCTCTAAAAGGCCCAAAATCCGTTCGGAATGCTCCGGGGCGCACTAATTTTCCTTTCGGGCAAAACGGAAATATCTCGAAAAAGTTCGGGCCCGAATCGGGGTGAAGAACCCTGGACACATCTGCATCGTTATGCGTGTTCTCACAGCCGGAACTTGCATCGGCAATGTTGCGGGGTGTAGTGTCTTAGGTATCACGGGATCCTAAGATCCACCGATCAGTTCTTTTCCAAAAAAGACGTGATATAACACGTCATAACTTGTCGATGCATGGTGCGACCCACTTTAGACAACCTGTGGATGATTTCTTGGCGCGTTAGCTGTACGCTGCCATATACACATTTGCCTCGACTTGCATGCAGCACAGACCCTTACGTTCAGGAGCCCAGGAGGCCGGCGAACATTCGGCAGCTAACTGCATATCCTGCCGTATAGTGCACCGAGGTCAGAACTGTATGGCCGACGACAAGGCTAAGGTGCAACCTTTTTCCCCTACTAGGCCGTGTTTGTACTGCGACTTTGGCGTGAGTTGGGCCATCTGAACAAGGTGACAAACTGCACAAAATGCAGGACGTCATTTGCTGTTGCAATCCGCATATAGCTGCAGCTGCTTCTAATGCTCCGTGAGCACGACGTCCTGCGTGCAGTGCGCTAATTCACTTGCTCGCATGACGTCGTATTAACATGTCCTGCATCACCTTGTAACAACACCTATTCCATTCTGCAGATCGATGTGCACCGCTTATAATGCTGCCCTTTTGAGGTGATTGGACGCGCCCAGCACATTTCCTTTGGCTTTACTTAACAAACATACGCCCCTGACACAGCCGTTAGTTCACGACCATTGCTTCCAAACCCCGTGTTACACTTCTACAAACGCACTGGCACCGCCTTTCCTCCAGACTGCGGGGTGTACACTACAATTCCAATTCACGCACGTCTTGCACGGTAAGCCAGCCACAGCAGCCACCATCCGGCCGGTCGCCTTAGGAAGCCGCAAGAAACGCAGCCAGCTGCTTCACCAGAAACCCACGATGTTTTGAGGTTAGAAGAGTCCCCGGGCTCATAGATAAACAAGTAATAATAAATAGCGTTGGAGAGTAGTCGGCTTGGGCAGGTTCATAACCGTCACGAAACATTTTTTACCGACAGCTGATTAGGTAATTGGCTGGGTCAAACCAAAGCAAGAAAATGGATGAGCGGGCGCGAGGCAGAACGAACGCGCTTATTGATGGATCTCTTGAGCGATAAATAGAGGATGAGGCGGGCTTTAAGTATCTCTTATATACTGCGGCGACTAGCTACTGGCCGCTACTCACTGTCGAAAATGAGGAAGTAGTCGGCAAGCCCCGGGATGTGGGTCGCGACCGCAAGCTTCAAAAACTGCTGGAAGTACCAAGTGCTCCTCCGCTTTATGTGCTTCGCGTCCGTTTCCGACCGGACCTGGAACCGACCACCAAGCCATTCAGATACGGCCTCAGCTGTCATGTGCGGTACAAGGGTGTCTTCCTGCGCACAAACAAACTAGTCACCGGAGCGCTATTAACGGAATCAATCTGCGCCTCACATACAAGATAACAGACGACGTTTTCAGCAAAGGTTCGGAATACACCGCAGCCGCGTGCAGCTACGACATGGATGCTCCTCGGCTTGGGCAGCATAAAAGTGTTCACGGACGTAATCATTTGACGGTTGACACATGTTGGCTTGAGGGCTATGGTGACGACGTCAAACGCAGCTGGATAATAGCTTTTGCATGGAATCAGCCAAGGAGGTGAGAGAACGAAGTGCGCGAGCAGCGCAAGGTGCAGGGTGCTAAAACGACGCATCGTCATACTGCGTCATAGTCAGAAAGGATATAGGTTAATGACGGAATGTTCAGCTGTTTTAACTATGGCGGGTTGCAAAACAAATTGCGGGTGCGAGGCGAAGTGCAATCTTGCGTACGGCTAGCAACTTGCAAAGTTGTAAGTCGCAAGTTGCAAGTCGCAAGTTGCAAGTCGCAAGTTGCAACTCGCAACTCGCAAGGAAATTGCAAAATCTCACCCATATTTATTATTTATTATTTATTCATCTTTACTGTATGTGTTAGGGTTTTAGGGTTTTTGTTTTTTTGCGCATTTTAGCTGGTCAATTGTGGACACATCAACGGGCATGCGGACGCGCTCGCCCGACTTCTCACCCTGGCGTTCCTCTGGAACGTGCCACGCGCTCGCCTTTCCCCACAGGAGCTAATCTAACCAAGTCGCCACACGCCCCGATTTTCAACCACAAACGAATGCTGTCGTCTGCAAGTTGGACGTGTTGCTTACGCCGTATCGCTGCCTGCACGCCCGAGAATTTTGTACGCAACGGGAACAATGCGTTTTCCGGTTCTTGAAGGCTGGCTTATGGGCTGACAGCCATGGCATCTGGCTGTTAAGCAGTTACGTTGTCCTGCGCTTTTGGTTGTTCTTAGGGCGCTCGAATGTTTTTTGGTCTTAGTTCCCTTCATTTTTGTGTTTGTGTTGTTATTATTTTTATTATTCTTTTGTTATGATGATTTCTGCATGGTACTGGACATTTTCTTGTTTGTTGCTGGCTTTGGAAGGCTGCCTATTACGCGGGCGATCGCATTGTGTACTTGTTACTTTCTCTGCGTATTACGGTCATCACAGCGCTCCACGACTTTGATGTTTGCCTTTTGGGCCAACAGACATGGCATTCGCTTCTTGCTTCTTGATTTTTTTGTTTTGCTTCTTCAATTTTTTCACTTCGTTTGTCTATTTTCTTTTCTTTCCTTTATTGCTTTTGTTTGTTGTTTGTCCCTCCCTTTAATGCTGCTGTAATGTTGATGGGGTGTTACACTGTGGGCGGCTCGCCCCGAGAAAGGACGAGCACCGGGCCGCGGGGGCGGGCGCGGCTCTACGTCCGTCTGTTCCTCCACGCGCGCCTCACTCCCTCACTCACGCCAACCGGGACGCTCTCCCAGCCCCTGGCTAGGCAACGTAGTGGCGCAGAAGACTGCGAACCGAATTAAGCGAGAGCCGCACGAGAGGCGCCACACCACCTCTGGGAAACCTAAACAAGCTATCTGGCCCCACTACACCTGGCCAGCTTATTCGCGCGCTCTCGTTCCTCTTGACCGCCAAAACAATTGCAATGTTTTTTTTATTTGCGATTTTTGATGGTTCCATAGTTGTATGGTTGTATGGTTCTATGGAGTTTTGTATGGCGAGAGACGTGCGGACGCATCCGCGGCCCTCCCCACCCCCTTTCCCGGAGTGCCTATGCCCCGGAGTGGAAGTTGGCTAACGAACTACGGCGAGGTCAGGAGCACCAATTGAGTTAATTTTTACTTTTCTTTATAGCTTAAATTTTGCGCAAATCGGGCATACTTTGGTAGATGGAAACTGCGACTGCCGGACAGAGGTCACACATTCACATAATGCCAAATGAACGGGCTGCAGAGACTGCATAGCTAAGGCTAAGCTATTGCTTTAACTAGTTTAGCAAAGAGCTTCACGCGCGGGCACCTCCGACTTCGACCTGGCCGATGATGATAACAGGACTTCTCGCTTTGTACCCGTCCAAAAGCACCGAAACGCATAGGATTGCTGTGAATTATAGCACATGGAAGACATTGCGTGATCGACTTTAAGGGCGCGCATGGTGCCCCGGCCGCGCTTTATGGGCCTCCAGGAGCCCCAAAACGGATTGTCTAGGATCAATCCATTGCAGATAGATCATAGGCGCTGGGCTGGCGGTCATAGGGCGCATAGCAGCTGGATGGCTTTCAGGCTGCCGGTCATGGGAACCCGGGAGGCGTGCTGTTGGTGCGGGGCAAACCAGGGCTGTCGGGTGACCGGCGGAGATGGATGGGTGCACCACCAATTCATATATACACAGGGACGAATCCTAATCGGGGCGCGCGGCGGTACTCCGCCTGGAGCAAGCAGGTTCAACTCCTGCCGTCCTGTTCCTTTCATCATCCTCCCACAAAGAGTCCCCCGCAATTCTTGTACATCACAGCGCACTCCTAGACCGGCTGGATTTGAGGAAGGTGCGCCCCTCACCGCTGCGGCAGCGGCAGCAGCGACGTCCAGCCTGACGGCGCAGCGCAGCAGCGCGGGCCCCGGATGGGGCTTGTACGGGAGGGAATACGGCGGGGACCAGTCGGGTGGTTATGACGATGCGGTGGCGGCTGCGGCCAGGTCGAAGTCGGAGGTGCCCGCGCGTGAAGCTCTTTGCTAAACTAGTTAAACAATAACTTTTCTTTAGCTATGCAGTCTCTGTAGCCCGTTCATTTGGCATTATGTAAATGTGTGACCTCTGTCCGGCAGTCGCAGTTTCCATCTACCAAAGTATGCCCGATTTGCGCAAAATTTAAGCTATAAAGAAAAGTAAAAGTTAACTCAATTGGTGCTCCTGACCTCGCCGTAGTTCGTTAGCCAACTTCCACTCCGGGGCATAGGCACTCCGGGAAGGGGGGGGCACGTTGGCCTCCGCACACTGACATCCTAACCATTTGCTAGGTGTCATTTCCACTTACAAAATCCTCTACAGTCATGTGAATGGTGTTTGATTTAGTTTGGAAAATTGAGAAGCCACGGTAAACGTTGCAACGCACATGTGCGCCATTTGAACGAACTGCAGCAAATGCACATCTGATGCACGTTTATATGGTATCCATTCCACAGGGTAGCAGAGGTCCGTGCGATCGCCTCCGCGATAACGGTAGTTGGGCACACTGTAGTTGGAGTACTGCAGTGGGGAATGGCTTCTGATGGCGGGGCTGTTACCCTGGGGCCGTGTTACCCCTCCTGCTGGGTAGGAACTTACAAGGGGGTTACCAATGGGCTACGGGGGGTTGAAGGTGGGTAACCGATGGGTAACCCATGGGTTACCGACCCAATCAGTGCCATAGGGCAGGTTTTAGCCCGTTTTTTGCAGGTTAAAAGCTTTGCGTGCTCTCTTCCTAGTTGGTGCCACTGTGACCTCTTTGCTCTTGGGATTGTCTATGTACTTCATTTGCAATAAGGCTACATCAAAGGAATGGGAGTTTACATGAAGCTATATAAAGCGTGTAGAAAGCATTTGTGGCGTTTGCCTGCTTGTAGGTGCACTACGAGTCCGCGGTACATAACTCCTTTGTACTGGAGGTATGTGGCCTAATCCACATTGCAGGCACATATGTTCCACACCACCCGCCCATGGGTCACTTGGGCCCTATGCCCTGGCAGGTATCCCGCTCCTCCACCGCCCCCGCACTGATGTCCTTCCTCACCTGCTACCATTTCGACATGCACTGGGAGCACCACCGGTGGCCCTATGCACCCTGGTGGCAACTGCCGGTGTGCAGAGACCTGGTCAGGCGGGCCACCGCTGCATCCTCTGCCGTGTACGGCGGCGCAGGCGTCACGACCAACCCGCGGGACATTGCTCGGGATAAGAAGCATCCGCATAAGACACAGCACAGAAGGGAGGGTCTGGACCCCCCGGGAGCACCGCCAGGGGCTGCGGCAGCAGCTGCCGTGGTCGCAGCGCGGTGAGAGGGGGCCCACAGAGTAACGCTGCAGGATGTGCAGGGGGGAAGAGCGGTGACGGCGATGTACATGCTGCCCCGCAGGTGGGCAGGGGCTCTGTCCTGGGCTTCTGTGAGCATTGCCCTGGATGTGTGACTGTACAGCATCGGGATTTCCACCCACGGCAGGTTTTGGGTGGACGCGTGTGCGCATGTGTATGAGTGTGTGTGCCACATCATTCCTGAGCAAGGGGCTGACGCTGGCCAGGATCAGCTATCCTAATCAGGTGGTCTGACAAAAAGAGAGCCGAAACACTCTTCCCAAACGAGGGAAGAGGGACGTTAAGGGGCGCTGCTCCCCGCTTGCTCGACCTGGAGACTGCACGCGCGGAGCAGTACGGCTACAGCCCTACAAAACACGAGGCCACAATCAGTCATGCCGTCTCCAACTGGATCCTCATTTGCAGCCGTTGCCGCCACGACGGCGTCAGGTGTGATTGGCCCTGATCAGGGCCTGTTCATGAACTGCGTGTATGTCCGCATGTATTGCATCACTTTGTAGGCCAGCACTACCCGAGTGTGAAACTGAGGGCCCAACCTGCGTGTGTGTGGATGTATGTATGTGTGTGTATTTGTTACATGTCGATCGGGGCATGACACTGGCGCTGTGTGTGTAGAGGAGTAATGGCCGCCGAGTTCGACGGGAACAAAAGGGCCTCTGGAGCAGGCAGTGAAGTGTAAACGCATGTTGTATTGGGTGCGGCCTGAACTGATCAAAAGGAAGAATATGTTTGTTCGAGGCACGGAAAGCGAGAGCCTAGCATGTTGCATTAGCCCTTGCGTCATTGTATATGTGTGGTGGGAAGTGTTTGCTGTCTGCGCGCCGTCGGTGAAGCATCCAGCATCGAGGGGACCTCCAGGGGCGTCCGGAGCTAAATGCCAACAGGGGCTTTGTCGCAGTAAAACAATCGTGAGTGTCCATGCACGTGCAGCGCATATCTGCACAATCATAGAGACATGCACATCTGCATTTTTACAGTCTTGCCAATTTTACCTTAATGCGCAGTTCGTCGTGTTCGAGTACGATGGCCTTTATAATATTTAGCCTGTAGTGTGGTACGTTGTGTCAGGTAGGGTCGTTCATGAGGCTTTGTACAGGTCACTGACCTGGCAGATGGGCGTGAAAACTTGCCGCATTGGCATATCCGCGGGGGACAGAGCAGGTAATTTCAGTATTCTGCTGTCATCGCAGATGGGCCTCTCTTGCAGTTTATGATATGGTGTTATGAAGTTGGGTTTGAGTAAGCACCGTATTTGTTAATCTGCATATCCCGAGTCCCTCAAGGTGCTGCGTGCCGGTAGTGTTTGTAGCGTAGGGTCCAGGACGGAATGCCGTTGCTAGTTCCTGTCGATGGTTGCAGTTGACAGTCGTGTCGTTTCGACAGGTCCTAACCAAGTATTTAGCCTAAGTACCAGCCAGCGCAAGCACTGTGGCCACCGGCACGGTGCTGGCGAATTACATCGCTCTGAAAGCTCCAGCTGGCTCGTCCGGAACTGGCAAATCTAGCCTGAGCTTAAGTAGCTTCGTGAAATGCGTAATTCTCCAGAGCAGGGTTTTGCCGCACTGAGAGGAAGGCAGCGTGCACGTCGGGGAGCAGCTTACACGAACATGTTCAGCAGACATCCTCAGAACCTGTAATACCTGCCATCCTTACCAGCAGTGGCTCGTCCTGCCGTGTTCCATTGCATCTTTGCAGCCACCGTTGCAAGCTCAACGTCTATCTTTGGGACATACAGACATACAGTTGTTCAAACTAGTAGTCTGGACATCGTTTGAAAAGCTTATGCCGCCCAACTCTGCGGTTCAGGGTCTGGGTGGGGGGTTATGATCTCGAGTGCATAGTTGCCATGGCACAGATTCTGCAGGCTTGCGTAACCTTGCAATAGACGTCGTGTAAGCCCTGTTTCACTTCGGCGGGCCGTAGGAGCTTTTATACGGCACGGCTGATGCAGCCATAAGCATGCTGCCGCAGCCTGTTGCGGTTCCGGCTACTTTGTGTGTCCACCAGTGGCGGCTCCAGTGGTTGTAATCCAAGCATTCGGTTGACCACCTGCCTCAGTTGCTGCTTTATGGCTGCGACATCTGCATTTCCCTTCTCATCATTTTAGCATCAATATTACTGTAGTCGCGCCTGTGCGCATGCGTGTTCATTCTTATGTCGTCAAGGCTCCACATGAGATGACCCGACATGGATCATGAGCTCGAGTCATAGTTTGAGTCCCTGGCACAGACCCGACCTACAACAGGTCGTCCATTGACGTACATACAATGCCCAATCGCACCATGAGGTCTGGCGAGAGGCTTACATCTTCCTCGCCCGTATAGTCCGATTTCTCCAACCTACCACCCCAATCCCACAGCCGAACGACAACACGCGCGAAATGCAGTCGCTTTAGTCGTATGGTCGGTTTTCGACCAGTCCGCGTGAGAGCTGGAGGAAAGTATTCCTTAGGCACGATTTGTTTTATGGGGTGTTAGGGGAATCAATATTTGGATTAGTCGTGTCGCAGCAAGGCACAGCAGTGGACACCACAATGGTCGCACATTCCGCAACACAATGATATCTGAATGCATCTACGAACATAACGCATTAACTCAATAACTCAAGTCAGGCAAAGTTAATGGCTGCACTGTACTCGTACGCTACACAGCTCACAAGGGAGCAGATGCTGTGTGCAACCCCTTGCCAGATCCCTGCTCCACAACATGTATGTATGGCTGCAAGCACGTCAAAGACATACATCCGGTCGTCTAGAAGTACCCCCATTGCCATAGCCTTCTGATCAAAGGCTATGGCATTCCATGGCGCGTCCGCAGCAATACAGGTTGGAGTCATGCCTATATAATATGCTCAGACTTTTCACTGTAACTCGGGCCCCTGTGTACGGCACAACCGGTGTATGATCGATTTCCAGTAAGTGTGAGCTTAATCACATGCACAAGGGGAGCAAGGCCAACCGGCATAGGACACTTCGTTCAATAGAATGAATTGTGTTGCGGTGGGGTCCGAAAGAATCACAGGCACGTACAACCATCTACACAAGCCGCAAACATAAGCCAGCCAAACGGCCACACCGTGTACCGGAAAACCCACAGAAAACCGGATTCGTTGCCCAGCCCAACACTCTGAAGGTGCATGGCGACCTGTGATATGGAGAAACGTGGCCTGAACCAGTGGCCATGAACCATTAAAGGGGTATCACACAAACAAAAGTTGACCATGCAATAGCCACCATATGATGGATGCATCATAATAATCGCCAGAAGAATTTCGTGTCACCAGAAGTGGCTGAAACCCCCCGGTAGTCATAAGCCCCCTTCACCTGCTGTGAAAGCCGGCGACCCACCGACTGTACAAGCTTTAGCAGGATAGGGCCGGCGAGGTTTAAGCCTCCTGAACGCATTTCACTGGCGGACCGGACATTTCGGCTCCGTGCATTGCCCGGAGGGTCTCGAGTCAATTAAGTCTGCCGTCGTCCACCTTCTATGTAATGGTGTCTGTGGCCCCACCAATGGCACTGGCAGATTCACGTCCGGTCCGTTAAGTAAGATGTATCCCAATTCCCGGAATTGGCATGCTTGAGGGGCCCTCAAGCAAGCAATGTCACGCAACAATGCCCGAAGAAAAGCCTCGCACTGGTCTCACCAGCTCCCGCATCACAATACATCACTCTGAAATCTCCATAGCATACATTAGTATCAGTTAATAATAGAATACTCACATTGCGGTAGACATCACATAAGGGTACACTTGGAGGAAACATGAAAATGTAGGCCTAACCTCGTCTGATATCTATCTCCTGACAAGGCACCTTTTAGACTAGTAGGCGAGAGACATGATGCCGCTTTCTGTGCACTGAGGAAGGGCATGAAGAGTGGAAAAAACAGGATCTGCCACGTGCACGAGCGAGAAAGATATTACCTATCAAGTATCTCAGCACGAAGAGGGGAAGGACAGTGTAACGAGGCAAGGCCTATCTGAGCATCCCGGGTTACGCCTTTGCTGTGTCATAGACAGCTACTATAGCAGCACTGTTATGTTTTCTTCGCTGGCTAGACGGCTCTGGCAGGCTAAATATCATATTTATATATGATCCAGGTTGCAAAGTGAACCTTGCAGCATGAACCTGCGAAACGTGAGAAAGCCCAAGGAGTTTGCTCGCTCTTCTTACCCAATCCTGACAACATGTATGTGCAGCTGCCTCATCATGGACTCAAGCTCCGCATCCCAGCCCCTCCACTCTTTCCTGAAGCGACTGTGCCACTCAATCATGACCACATCACAAAGAATGATGCTACCCCGGCGAATCATGTGGCTTAGCAGCTCATACTCAGCTCCTTCAATATCTATTTTGCAGACCACATGGTCCACATATGTGACTGCAGACTCCAAGTAGTCGCCGAAATCCACAGATGGCACCGTAACCAGATCTCCAAGTGCATGAGGTGAATCGAACACTGAGCCGCCAGTCTTGCCTGGCTTGCCATCAGCACCTACATTTCGGCTGTCCATGTGGAATGACAAGGTTCCTTTTTCAATCCAAGCTGCAGCCTCCACCAGCACCACATTCTCAGGGTGCAGCTTGTATTGGGTTGTCAGGCGGTCAAGGCCTGAGCGAACGAGCGGCATATTCTCTGGATTGCATTCAAAGGCGTGGATGACATAGTCGCTGTAATCGGTCTCAGCCTTGATCAGCATCTTTTCGATAGAGTCCCCTGTGCGTGCTCCCAGGTCCATGAAGAACTTGCGCGGGGGCCTTGCCACCACATCCACACCAGGACGCACTAACGCCTTGTCATAGACCTTAGCGACGTACACCTGCCGCCCCAGACCTTCATGTGTGGAGTCGAAGCACACATAGCGACCGTCACGAGACCACCTGCAGACAAGAAATGAAACTGTAATTGGAAAGACGTAAGGGAGCCCGAAAGCATAGGACTAAGGATGGACACAAGCCATGATATTCTTGTTTCCCATGCACAAAGCGAAGGGACGAACCCCGGGTATGAAATCTAAGGCTGGATGTATAGATGTGGGAGCACTGGCCTACAAGTCATACCCCGGCTACCTGAAATGCTTTTAATCGCTGATTTATAACTCATGTCCCCATTGCTCATGCACCGGCCCACCTAGGGTGCAGATCGACGCGTTGCGCAACGTTTCTGCTCTCCTTCACAGGTGAGTAGTGCCCAATAATAACCGTGGTATTTCGAACTGCAGTACAACGCGGGGACAACGGGGCAGTCGTGCAGCTGCCACTGCTTGTATGAATTATTGGGACATAAGCAGTAGGCGGCATAATGAAACGTGATCCAGCAGAAGACGGCATTGCACACCTGTAATTAGCATTAGTAGCTGTCATACAGTACGACACATCATTTCGGCGGCCAGCTACTATACATCAGGATGGGTAGCAAAAGCACCAAGCAACCACACGGGTATGAATGCGATGCTTATACGAAGGGATTTCAATCTTGGAATCCAGACATAGAAAGCCAGCTGCGTAGAGTTGCCTATTTGTCTGGTGTGCTGGCACTACTGCATTAAGTAATTTTAGGACCTGGGATCGATTCCTGGGGGGATCCCGACAATGGGCATGAGTATAAGATAATGACTAATTGCTGAGACACTATGATGAGGTCACAGATGATGGAACAAGATAGATTCACATTCTGGATTTGTGTGATTGCTGTCTCTGCGAATTATGTTGGGGTGACTGGATGGGGAGATAAGGCAGACTAGGATCCAAATCCGCTTTAGACCCCCATTCGTGTGGAACCTGTAACTTTAACCTATTGCAGGTTAACACAGCAGCCTCTTCCCATGGGTAGGCGTATGACAAAGCTGACCATGAGCCTAACAGATGTTTGACAACACCAGGAATGGAGTGTGGTCCAACGGTGCCAGACTAATACGCCATGCTGCTCTGTCACAGATGGCATGATGCTCATGTTCTGGTCATGCATCAACGAGGGTTGGACATATCAGATAAACTCGATATCGTTAACTAATATGAGGCAACGTGGGATATGCCACCAGCAAGTCCAGTAGCATGCACTGCTTGCCAAGCATGCACCTAGCTCTGCACATAACCCCCACCCACCTCCACCTGCTGGCTGATGTATGTGAAGTGCGCTGCCTACTAGATCCCACACAATTATAAACATACCGAGGTCCCAGGTGAACAGGGTGCGGATTGGGCCGGGGAATCCGGGTATGGCCTGTTGAGGGTAGGTGTCCGACAGGATGAAGTGGGTGGATGTTGGCGCAAAGCTGCAGTGTCCATCGCCTCCACGGGACACTTCCACTGGGCGCCCCAATTGAACTGTGAAAGTCTTGAACTGCATGTTGCATACAATTGGATGTCAGACATTATCTATTATTGCGATTATATATACAAAATAAATGCCATGGGATGTGAACCCTGATGAGCAAATGAGGATTGTTCAGGTACCATGTTCACCAATCCCTCATGCCTACATTCAGCAACGAATTCATAACCAACATGTGATGTACACACCTTGGCGTAATAGTATCCAGTGCTGTCACAAGAAATGAGGTTGTCATCCCAGCCAAAGTCGTGATGGGATCCGTGTGCAAGAGGGACACGCCAGAGCTCCCCAGTGGCGATATCCACAGTGAAGGCAAACGTCTTGAAGTTACGCCAGTATCTGCAATATGCCGATCGATAGAGAAACATAACCTGCACCACAATTTGCATTACCGTAGTGCCTGTAAGTTTTGATAACTCACAATCGGAATGTCACCTCCAATGTGTGAGCCGTAATTTCCGTTAGGCAGTGTTCAGTAGTCACCACGAAATGTACAATGCACGGTACTTTTTCAAACTGAAATTACGCACTATGACTGAAAATCGACCAACGTTTTTAGATGATTTTAGATGATGGACCCGCCAGACAGGCCTTTAAAGCGTCCAAAGCTCATACAGTCAAACCTTAACCTGCCAGCTTGAGCCCCCGGAGTCCTAGGTGAGTTACAATATTAGTTTTACCATGGTTATGAGGAGCAGGAGGGGAGAGGAAAGGGAAGGGCGGAGGGGAGGAAGGGGAAGGGAGGGGGGGGAGGGGAAGGGAGAAGGGGAGGAAAGGAAGGGAAAGAAGCAGAAGTTTGAAAGTTTAGGTGCATGATTAGGGGGGTTCTGGGGCCCTCTGGAAAAATACATTTAAGGGTTAATGTTTTTAAGGGTAATTTTGCCCTGACACTGTATTTGAGGGTGTTCCTGCCCATGTTTCCTCCTTATCCACTTGTAGGACTTCCTCAAGAGCAAGGTGCCTGGCGCCCTTCTCAAGTGCATCCAGCGAACTGCACATCTAAGCTGCAGCGTTGTGATGTTGGCGTCCAGAAGCCGTTGAGGACTGCATCAAGCGTGACACGGTCACATTCTTCGTCCGCCAGCTGGAAAAGCAGTACATCGCGCCAAATGACACCATGGTCAGCCTGAGCACGTCAAGGCTGAAGCCACACAACCCTTCCTTCCTAAGGCAGGCTTTTTGCTAATATGGGGAGAACCCGGACATTATCCTCAATGCCTGACACAAGACTGGCCTGCTTTGAGCGTGAGCTCCAGCGTGAGGCCATAATCTTGCGGATGCAGGTTGAGAACGTCCTCTTCCCGCCGCCTGTCAGCACACGCCAAGCTCAGGCCGAGGCTACACTCGCTGCAACCGCAATGGCGCAATTTTCGTGACCTGACAGTCTTAATTACTTACACCTTGCATTTAGCACGCTTTTGGCGCAACACGTGACGCATTTTTAGTGTTTCGATTCTCTAGTCTTTCGTTTATGGGCAGTCAAAGGTCCTTGGATTACATGTGCGCCCGGTGTGCATCCACTATGTTGTTATCAGGTGTGCTGTATGGGGTTTCCAGGCTGGATGTATTTGCAGTCGGAAGCTGGGGCCGGTTGAACAGGAGGAAACTGAACTGGCACGGTACAGCAAGCATGCACTGTTGCCTTCACCAATCGTAAAAACACACTTGCGAAGTCATGTCAAAACATACGTTCTCCAATTGTTAGTATCACCGCAAAACTCCAAGCAATTTTTGGGCCGCCTCCATTTCAAGGGTTATCAAAAGCACTACGGTATGCCGTGTGACCATCGCTGTAATACCTACTACTACAGCACACCTGCTGCAGTAGCCGGTGTAGTAGCTGGCCGCTAAAAAGGCCTCTCGAGATGCTGGTGGTCGCGCTTCGCGCGTATTTGTAGAGCCGTACTGTGTACCAGCTACTGCATCCCCCCCCTTTGAAGGGATCCGTCTCGGGCCCTTTACGGCCACGTATACCACCAGCCAGTGCCTACCTTCTCCTACCCTCGGGCAGTGGGTGACCAGTCCACGTCACGCCATATGCCGGGTTCACATGTGCCTAGCCGGCTTCAGATTTCTCAGGCACAGAGACAGTCCAGTCGGTTCGGCTACATTTATATTTTGTGCGATTATCACTCACTGAATCGCTAAACCCGATATTCCACCAAGCGTGATTTGAACCGACGACTTCAGGATCGTAAATTTTCACGAGGTCTCTGTGCCAAATGTAGCAGCCGGCCGCTGGAAAGGCCTCTCGAGATGCTGGGCGTCGCGCTTCGCGCGTATTTGTAGAGCCGTACTGTGTACCAGCTACTACAGCCGGCCACTGAAAAGGCCTATAGATGCTAGCGAAGCGCCTTAGCGCGTATTTATCGAAAACTTGTGTGCCGTACTATGCAGAGCTACTACATTCCTCCCCTCTGAAGGGTTCGGCCTTGGGTGCTTACAGTCACACCAGCCGTGCCTGCCATCTACCTTATAGCAATTTCAACCCAAAATGAATGGGACCTCTGGTAGGCTGGCAGCTTAACCCTTTCAAGCATGCGACCGAAGATGCATATTTGAACACCATGGCATAGAGAGGGGAAATGTCATGCTTGGGAGCGCAGGCGATGGTGGTAATTATGTGGTCAAACTCTATTTTCCCTGTGCCCAGCAGACGGTATGACGGTGGCATCACTCCACTGGAACCCTGGTGTGTTCCACTCCCCCGCCCGGTACAAATTAGACATGCAAGCCCTCATTCTTCACCCAGCAACCTGACAGTTCCATACCATACCCTTATTCGCCAGCCCCAATCCTCCATCCATCCAAATGCACAGCCAGAACCCAGCTTTCCCTTGCCCAATTAGCTACTCGTACCGTGTATGTGATAGCACGCACCTTTGTGCCCTCGCGGTTTAACTGTGCATGGTTGAACCAGTGCCGGCACTCTGTCCGTACAGCATTGGTGTCCAAACCTGTGAAGCTGCTGGCATATTTCTGCCGTGTGATGGGGTCCACAAGGTCCGACCTTGCCACAAAGTCAAACACTTGGCGTATGCTCACGAGCAGTCGCGGCTTCACGTTAGCAGGGTCCTGGATGCCCTCCATGAGCCAGACGCCATCATTATCGGGGCAAGTGTTGTTCCTTTCCAGCTCTTGCGTGGGGCTGTCCACAGCGTAACCATAGTCCCGCCGGGTAACGTAAAGCCGTGCAAAATTTAAAGACACCGCGACTGTACCATTGAAATTGATGCTATAAAAAGGCATCGGCAATGTAGCCACTTGCCTACGCTGCATGATGTCGTACACTATACCAACGAACTTATTGGATGCGACGCGGTCATTGTAAATGATCATGGAATTCGACCATCCAAGCCATTGCAACATAGTCCCTTGCTGATGATTCCACGCAGTGGTATTAACCAGGAACTCTAGCCTTGGCCGCTTGCTGTCAAAGTCCATCACACCAATCTGCAAAGCGTCGAGTACTGACATTCCTTTGTCGTAAAATGGTATACTTTGAAAAAGTAATTTGGAGCCGTCTGCTGACCAAGGGGACTTGTCGAAGTATCCTGAACGCGCAAAAACATTGAATGCACAGTATATATCACAACCTAACGCACGCAGCAGTAATTACAACTGCGGGTCAACCACGTAATGCACAGTTATGCTTGGCCCTTACCGCTCATGTGTACGCCTTGCTGCGTGTTACTGATACGCCGCACCTCACCCACACCGACGTAGTTATAGGGATCGTATGTTACATTGGCAAGTAAAATATCAGTGCAATTGCGTAGCTCCACTAATAACGTATGCCCCGGTACAGGGATTTCAGCAGCTCCTAGCGTACGCAACGTTACAAGGTCCGCATAAAGGGGTATCAGCAATGGTAGCAGCAGTTGAACTGGTATTTTTGCTGATGCTCCATAATTTTGCAGTAAGATTCCCATTGCTTTGCCGCACTGGCAACCATGCGAGAAGCGGGATACTGAAGTAGGAGCCTTGCTGAATTGCAAGTTGCATGGCTATAGCCTGTTGAATTACACAAGCCTGTTGCAGGCTGTCTGCTGCCTACACGCGAGTGGTTCCCTGGAGCGGGTTGCACCGTATCTTGAAGTCTACATGTACACATATTCAAACATTTTAACCATTTTTAATAAGAATCACATTTCTGAACATTCCAATCACTTACATAAGAATCATCAAATCGCCTCAAAGCATTAACGAATTCTTTGGCGAACTCTTCATTACGTTTACTGTCGTTTTTCCAAGTATATCCAAGCGAACCAAAAGGCTTATGGGCAGCCGAAGGACTGCTGCGAATACCATAAGCAATTTTATTTGTTGTTGTGCTGGCTACTACTGTGAAAAGGCAGTAAGCGTTGCCCGCGCTAACTGCAATCACCGTTGTTGTCAGGAGACAAAGCTGCAAGTCTCCAACACTAGTGCTATCACTAAAGCAGCTAAAAGCCTATTAGACGCGGTGATTGACGGAGTCTTACAGGTGCAAACCGCGGAACCAACCACCGTAGCACCAAGCAAATTCAATAATCGTGGCAGACATGCCAGACTTTAAATGTAAAGCTACCTCATCGGTAGTGGGCGCCTTCCATTAGCCAGGGTGAGTTGGCTAAAAGTCGCGTGCTTCCATGGTAGCTGAGTCAACCGTAATCGCACCGCATCTTCCAATGCTTGTTTGCTTCGTTACCACAATTTAAGAATTCGATTACACAGCTTAATTTGAGCATTGGGCTGAAATGGCCGTAAAAGATAACCGCTTGCGTTGCATTTGCGCTTACGCTCGCCTTCCTAGTGACATATATTATTTTGCTTCGAGAGAAATCTGCTGATTCTGGTGATGTCGACGTGTTTCTCGTGTTTCTCGGGGCGGCCAGAAGCATCGTGACCCGCACAGCTTCCGCATTGACAGCAGCCCCTACTATGTTCGCCCGCAGTCCACGAATCGGAAAAGGTGCATACGTCATGCCCTCAGCTGTTGCATCGTGATTACACTATAACCGCCCCGACAGCGATGCCATCTAAGCAGCTCGCTGTCAATAACACCGCTAAAGCCTCCACTCCCCGCACCGCACCGCTAATTGGCTTGTTGCCCGCTGCCAACTTTTGTCTCCTCGCTGATCGTCTCGGCCGTCCTTTGGCTCCCATGCCCTGAAAATCCTTTCTTAAGTTGGACAGTGCACTTACGCTCAAACCACCTAAGGTTCGTGAGTCGAGCTAACTACGCGACAACTAACTAGGAAACCTAACAAGGTCACAACACGGCGAATAGCCATAATAGGTTGTGACCGCAAAAAGTACGACATCAGTACGACAAGGCCCTACGACAACCCTAAGTCACTACTTACATATGCATGATCCAAGAACAAGCCTTCTCACAAATTAGGAGCCACCGTTTACCAGCTGGAAGGACAAAGACTTCGTTCGTCACTTTCGCGTGACCCGGGATTCCCTTATGCTGCTCACAAGCGTTTTGCGCGCATAATTGCAAGACAGATTCTCCAAGATAAAGAGCCCATGGACGTAGAGATCAAGGTGGCTAACGGACTGGACAGTCTTTTGAGCGGAATGCCCCGAACACAGCGTTGAACGTCACATCTTAGGGCCGGGGTGCAAATACCCGTGGCTAGCGCGCATGCCGATGCTAGTGTGGGGAATGACGCGTACATGGGAATGTACGAAGACTGCGTCAACCCACTAATTATGGTGGTACTAAGAAGAGGAAAATATGCTCCATTACTGCCTGATGAGTGCTTTACGCCGCGTGCTTTGTGTTCCCCATCTTGCAACTCCATGTTACCGTCAGTCCGGCGCCGCAGCTCAATAAACCGATTTTTATCTAAAGGGCTATTAGCCTGAACTGGATAAACAGTATAACTAGAGTTCGTGAACTTACCACCTGAGGTCGCTCAGGTGATAACTTCATGCACGGGAACATACCGAGTAGCAAACCTGCCGGGCCACCCGGCTGAGACATGAAGCCTCCCTGGAGGGACCAAGCACCTTCTTCCCCTGCGCGCATCTCGCAGATCCCATACAACAGCCTTTATCTCTTAAACACCAGTAACTTGCTAGGGTTGACGAACGAGAAGAAATTGACCCGAACAAAGTCGCGTTTGTCATGTCAACGGTCTCGCATTCCGTCAAGCCCCAAAGGGCTCAGTAATTAAACTTGTATTTGTTCCTATGATAAAAACAATACAGGTTGAATTGCTGAACCCTTTGGGGCTCGACGGAATGCGAGACCGTTGACATGACAAACGCGACTTTGTTCGGGTCAATTTCTTCTCGTTCGTCAACCCTAGCAAGTTACTGGTGTTTAAGAGATAAAGGCTGTTGTATGGGATCTGCGAGATGCGCGCTGGGGAAGAAAATGGTTGGTCCCTCCAAGGAGGCTTCATGTCTCAGCCGTGTGGCCCGGCATCTGTGCTACCGATTATAGCATCGAAATAATATTTGCTTCTAATAAAAAAAACTATCTTTAAACCTGGTTGCCGGTTTTCCTTTTTTGCATCATTGCAGTGCTGCTTGTGTATCTGAACTCACGCGATTCTGAAGAACCATCGTGAGTTTCTGGTGAAGCAGCTGGCCGCGTTTATTGCGGCTTCGTAGGGTGCTGCCGTACGTTGGCGAAAGTGGCTTGCCGTGCACAACATGCACGATGGAGAATAGTAAGGTGCACACCGCAGTCTGAAGGAAAGGCGGCACCGGCGTGTGTGCATATGTAGAAGTGTTACGTCGGAGGGTGGAAGCCAGCAGTGTGGCTTTGGACAGCTTGTGCAGACGGCCGAACGCACGTCACATCCCTTACACACGCGTTGAAGTATGGAGAATGTATCGCGCCCCCGCGCTGTCGACGACACAAAGTTTGTAGAACCGCGGTGCACTTTAGGGTTGTAGAGATGTAGGCAGGTCTTTAGGCACCAAAACATGCGGGCGGCTGTGGTGAATGTAAGTTGATCCTTTCAGGCATCAACGCTCGCTACATGAGAGCGCTGCGAAACACACCTGACGCGCCAGCAACATGCAGCAACCGTTGCGCCCTTGATAACAGCACACTGCTATCATCGGCCTGCCGCGCCAACCGAAGCTGCATGTGCCCAGGTTTAATGCCGCTTGGTGATTATACAAGAAACCGCGCGAAATTGCAAGGCTCCTCTCGGGTCGGATGAAGGCCAGCTCCACCCTTGCCCATGCCCGCTGCTTACGAAGGCTGCCCTTTGCGGCCTTGTCGCCGAACCTCTCAGCAAGTTAAGCTAGCGAAGTCCTTATTTCTATTGATTGTTTTTTTAAAATTGCCGCTTTCTTCCCGCGTCGCCGCGAGCTTTCCTTTATGTTGGTGTATTTCTTATCCGTCTTTTTGTTTTCGCTTTATTTTTCTTTGTTTTCGGTTTTTTCGCATTTAAGCAGCTCATTTGTTCTGTGGATTTCTGCATGCCAAGGTTAATTAAGCCGCTGAAGCCGAATTTCGCACGCCCGCGAATTTTACACACATACGCGTAAAGCCCGCGCTCCAAGCTTTTGAGGGCTTGCCTTTGCGCGGCCCGCCGTGGCCTTCGCATCTTGGCTTTTTATGAATAGTTTATTCAGGTCGTACCCTGCATCACGTTTTTGCGAGGGGCTGCTTAAAGACTAACTATGACGGGCGGCAGGCGAACCTGTTAGCATAAAAGTGGCTAACAGTCGCTTGCTTCAATGGCCAGAGCTTAGCCTCTCAGTTATCATCCACGCTAACTGGCTAATGGAAGCCCGCCACAATCCCGACAAGTGCCAGAAGCAGGGTTCTTCACCAGGGTACCCAAAATTTTCGGTTGTGCCTATCAGGGCCCTCCTCGAAAGTCTCCCTGTCAGCCTGACATTGTTTGGGGTACCCCAAAGCTGTCCCAAGAGGGTTTTCGGGGTAAAATTACCCCTTCGACACTATCATTACTTGTATGATAGGAGCTTACCAGGTCCCTTAAAAAAGCCGTGAATCCCGAGGGAGGTGTGCCAACACCTACTACCCGGCTAGAGAATAATCCTCCATACCGGTATTGGACCAATCTGACCCAGCACAAGCAAGTCTAAGGCCGCTCACAAGCCGTAGGACCAGATGGTGGGGCTCACTGAATCCCAACCCAGGCAGGGCAGCCCCAGCAGGGAAGCGAAGGTGTAGAGTCGACCCTAGAAAGCCAATAGGCTACATCTACTGATGCCATTTCAAGGCGACCGTCAGCCACTCGTGCCTAGAGGACCTGGCTAAGGCATTTATTCCTTGGAATCCGAGGACCGTCGGCACGCGCCCCTCATTAAGACGAGGGCAAAACGTATTGCAAGGCCTTGCCCTATGGTCAGTAAGGATCTCGGCTACAATGGACTTTAAGGCCGGGAATAATAATAGGGTTGAGAATGCCATTTATCCAGCAAATGTTACCGGATCCTGGGTGCTTTGGGCGGGGCCCCAGCGCGAAGCGCCCAGGGGGCCCCCCGCCCTGTAGGATTGCCCATGTCCGTGTGGCCGTGTGCCCGTGTGGCCGGGCCCAAAGTCACATCAACGCCTCTCGGGCTAAATTTAATCTCAACAAAAGGTGCCGCATATCTCATACTAGAATTTTGAGATGACGGCGTATGATAACTCGAACACCCAGCTTGTGTTACCATTTGCCCGCACGGGCATTCCGACTTGCCACGAGCAGGCCGACAAATTTGCTCTCATTTCTCTATGAAATACGCATGCTGCTCATTTGTACAATTAATTTGGTCAATGCTCGGGGCCTCCGAAGAGTTGCAGAGTGCCGCGCAGCTGTGGGGCGGATTGCTGAAGCTGCTGGCGCTTCGGGGATAAACATTACAGACAACACCGGAAAGTGTTGCGGGCTTTGGGGAAGTGTGTCAAGCTAGGCTTTGAGGGGGACGCCAAGGGCGCGTGAGCAGGCGCCCAAATGGGCAGGTCAATGCCCAAAGGGCCGCCGTAGGCAGTGTGTACGGTGTTGTACGGCGCTGTTTTCCGTGTGTTTTATGGCTGTGGCACCGGACCGCAAAGCCAACAGGCTGAAGGCTGGCAAGCTGCGATTGTGTCTGGTGAGCGTTGAGCATCCGGCCTGGACCGCGGACTTGGCGGCTGAGCCCCTGCTGTGTGCTGGTAACGGCACCTCAGACTCATAAGTTTATGCCCAAGCAAGGGCCTTAGCCGTGTCTGCTAGGTTCCAGAGAGACACCGTCTCTTCAACAGGTTATGACCCCCGGCTTCCTGCCTCCCGCGCTCTGACAAACATACCTCCCACAGCATTAGCACTGCTGCAACAATCACAGCTCCCACCACGTTGACACTACCCTAGCTAGCGGCCTGTATGGATGCAGGGGGCCCCCGCCCTTTTTCCGGCTTCGAGGAAGCCGACATCCGACTTGTCCACTTAGTGATCTTGTTTTCTGAGTTTGCCACGACTTGGTACCACTTTCGCAGCCCGCATCGAAACAGTAGCTTTACCCCAAGATAGCTCATCGTTACTGCTGCGCCTCAACGCATTTCGGGGAGATCCAGCTAGCTCCGAGTTCGATTGGGATTTCTCCGCTATTCGCGACTCATCCGGAATGTTAGTGTCAACAAACAGGATCCAAAGAAGCCGGCTAAGGTGAACAGATTAGTGTACCAGGGGCTCACCGGGTATTACCCCCTGTCGTCACACTATGTACAGCAGCTCAAGCCTCACACAACCAGAGTTATTAGCCAGGCAAACAATCAGCTCAGCCGATTGTGACAACATGTATGTGCAGCTGCCTCATCATGGACTCAAGCTCCGCATCCCAGCCCCTCCACTCTTTCCTGAAGCGACTGTGCCATTCAATCATGACAACATCACAAAGAATGATGCTACCCCGGCGAATCATGTGGCTTAGCAGCTCATACTCAGCTCCTTCAATATCTATTTTGCAGACCACATGGTCCACATATGTGACTGCAGACTCCAAGTAGTCGCTGAAATCCACAGATGGCACCGTAACCAGATCTCCAAGTGCATGAGGTGAATCGAACACTGAGCCGCCAGTCTTGCCTGGCTTGCCATCAGCACCTACATTTCGGCTGTCCATGTGGAATGACAAGGTTCCTTTTTCAATCCAAGCTGCAGCCTCCACCAGCACCACATTCTCAGGGTGCAGCTTGTATTGGGTTGTCAGGCGGTCAAGGCCTGAGCGAACGAGCGGCATATTCTCTGGATTGCATTCAAAGGCGTGGATGACATAGTCGCTGTAATCGGTCTCAGCCTTGATCAGCATCTTTTCGATAGAGTCCCCTGTGCGTGCTCCCAGGTCCATGAAGAACTTGCGCGGGGGCCTTGCCACCACATCCACACCAGGACGCACTAACGCCTTGTCATAGACCTTGGCGATGTACACCTGCCGCCCCAGACCTTCATGTGTGGAGTCGAAGCACACATAGCGACCGTCACGAGACCACCTGCAGACAAGAAATGATAATTAATTTTTACACCAAAACCGGGGCAGCCTCATGACCCCTAGCATAACCAAGAACAGGCGGCATGAGCCCAAGCAAAGTACATACAGTGGCATGAAAGAGTATGCCAGCTTGGGTCAGCAAGGCCAATGCAAGCTTGGGCATGAATTGAGGAGAACAAGTACTTAGGGTGCTTACAGAATCGCCCTGATGACCACCTTATTAGGGAGCACAACTTGTGGGAAGCTGCATGCAACTTTACAACGGACATGCAACCCAGGCTTGAAGATGCAACATACAGGCCCAGGCAAAGGTAAGTTCACAGGGCAGGTAAGTAGGGTTTTTTAAGGTAAGTTCACAGGGCAGCTAAATAACCTGCACGCATGGTGTCTGTCTGTTACAGCTACTCTTATCATGCCTCCAGGACGCTATACCTGGAGGGGTTACACTACTTTTATCCATTATAGTTCATGACCACCCAGCTGGATTTAGGGCATCCTTATGGTAGTTTATGATTGCCTGGTCTTACATACCGGTTTCTTACTTACCAACTACTTGCTTATTCTGTCCATGCTGATTACACCTTTTGTCTTTCCGGTTCACTGAACCTGGCAGGTCTACAGCAAACAGTCAGAACATCTGATGGCATGGGTTGCTATCGGAGCTACCTTCTGGTGCCACTTAATGCCGCGTGTGCTACAGGGTTTCATGCCATCTGAGGTATGGGCAGGGGTTATAGCTTCCATTACACCCACGGCTGGGGTGTCTGTGTCCCTGACTCAACTGGCTTACTGGTTGGCTGAAGGCAGATTCATCTGAGAGCGGGTACAGGCTGTGGCGTTATTCGTGGGGTACCCATCAGAAGATTTCACCGTTACCCTTCCAAGGTAGGTGGAACTGTCCGCTTGAGGCTCCCACCCCGGGGGGCTTGGAACATCTACTATGCCTAGGGCTACAACTTTTAACGGTCCCTGACCTCGCTCTCAAACGGTGTCTTTTGATGTCACCCTTATGTTGTTGTGTATGATGCATACAACAGCTACACATACATCCTATGCTTTTGCCATGATTACGCACTGCATATGCACTTGCATATCTAGTCCCGCCTGGACTTCAATCGGTCAATGGCTTATTACCTAGGGTGCAGATCCACGCGTCGTGCAATATCCGAGCTCTCCAACACAGGAGAGTAGTGTCCAATGATGATAGTGGTATTGCGGACTGCAGTTGATGAAGGCAGGAGAGAAATTCGTGCAACCTTAAATGGTCAAACCTCTACGGCACATACTTTGCGCAATAGCAGGCTACTTGGTTCTAGATCTATCCAGTTGGGCGACTTACAATCAAATAGCTGAAGCACCAAGCCACCCATGCCATGACGCAGGCATGTATACATAACAGATCATGCAGTTGATATACAAAAGCTGAAAATGGGTAATAGAAAAATAGGGGCAGCATGCATAGGCAGCCATGGCTGGCAACAGACGTACATCAATCTCACTCCAGTTTCTGTTTGGAATGGTACAGCAGGTTATACCTAGGCTGAGAACAAATGAAAGGGCAATGTTAGTTCCTCTGAAATAATGTCATAGGATTACATACCGAGGTCCCAGGTGAACAGGGTGCGGATTGGACCTGTGAATCCGGGTACTGCCTGACGGGGGTAGGTGTCCGACAGGATGAAGTGGGTGGATGTTGGCGCGAAGGTACAATGGCCATCACCTCCACGAGACACTTCCACTGGCCGCCCCAGCCTCACAGCAAACTTCTTAAACTGCATGAGCACAAAGTCCGACAGCCGTAGACTTGGCAAGCGGAAACCCAGTTTGTTGCGATCTACAGTCCAGTCAACCATTTCATGCGCAGGCAGGGCTCGAATGGTGGCAGGACGGCATGCAAAGCTCGCAAACGTATGTGGAAACGACCGTGACCAGTGGCAGGGCAGGCAGAAAGTGCACCTTCTGGCGTTGGCTACTGTGATGGGCTGGGAACTAATTTTGATGTCGGCGTATTAACAACTCAACCAGCAATTCAGCAGTTGTGCAGGCCAGTGCAGGCTCGTCATGGCCCCATTGAGGGCCTGTAACAGGTATGTATAATGGACACATACGCCCCCTGTCGGTACATATGTTTTATCGCCTACAGACAGGGTCATCGTATAATAGACAGGACCAAGAAATGGATCGTAGATAAATTCTATAGACCATGCCATGCTAAAATAGATAGGCCAGAAAGTATTATAAGTCCAGTAGACGATCAAAACGTTTACAGACGCTAACCCAGCATGCTAACCACGAGGTTTATTTATCGAAGTACCTTGGCGTAATAGTATCCAGAGCTGTCACAAGAAATGAGGTTGTCATCCCAGCCAAAGTCGTGATGGGAACCATATGCAAGAGGGACACGCCAGAGCTCCCCGGTGGCGATATCCACGGTGAAGACAAACGTCTTGAAGCCACGAATGTATTTGCAGTGTGCCACGCGATACAGGAACATAACCTGTCCACCAAGCCCAGTTTTTGGTCATAAAAAGTTAGTCCAAAAGGAAAGCAGGTTGAATTCAGGATCGCGGCAGCAGATGGCCCTTATTACCTTAATAGCTGCTTGACCAGGCAACAATAGGCTAATAATTGTGCAATGGGTAGGGCAAAGCATGTGTATCTACAGGGTGCAGGGCTGATGTAGCCATTAGTGTGCTGGAATGCGGGAGAAAGATCTATATGGGCTATAGCACCAATGCTTGCCCATGGACGTATAGCCTTAAGCTCTTGACACCTGAAAGCCTTGAGGCCCTTCACCTACTAGGTGACCTAGTAGGTCGCCTGCTTGCCAACGCAGACTTTTTGAAGCGTGGTGGCACACGCACATGCTCCGAGCCAACAGCCATCCAGTCAGCAGCCATCGGTATGCTGCGACAGTGGTCAGAACTGCAAGCATCTGCTAGCCATGATTGCGCCCAAATAAGTTCTGCATAGATGTACATAAAGCTTGAAGCCGATTTGCCCACACCTGCCCCATCCTTAGACAGTTAAAAGGGCCATGCCACTGTCCCAACCCCCGTTGGATTAATTGCTTGGGCGAAGAGTAAGCTCAAAGCCGCCACGCACAGGACCCTTGTCATCGCTCTTGAGACACCACCAGTTGCCCATGCTACATAACAGTGAGACCTCCAATCCATATAAGGCCACAAGGAGCTGCAATAGCTGCTGCACACACGCATATCCTCTATAAATCCGTACAGGGCGCTCTGCCAGCATCTTCATGTTAAGAAGCCTCTTCAGCGCCCAGCTACTACAGGAGACTATTTCAGCAGTTTTCCTCAGGCATAAGCTACAGATGATGTTCACAAGCCCCATGGTTGTGTCCATCATGTCTTGGTCATCCTTACCTGAAACTTTGAGCAAGGGACCCCTATTTCTGGCCGCTACTGTAGCTCTCTTCCCTTCCCCCTGAAACCACTCCAGAGGCCTAGAGTCTCGTTCCTGACAATAGCATAAGCCCCTCGACCGACACCGTTTGTCTCCCCTGCCCTCGAAGCCATCCACAAAAAAGGTCAAGTGCTTGCCTGATGACTTTTATCCCGTGCACTCATTTGCTGGCCCCTCTGCTGGCCACAACTCTCTCCAGCCGAAAGCAACACACCTTCGTGCCCTCGCGGTTCAACTGAGCGTGGTTTATCCAATGGATGCACTCCGTCTGAATCGCGTTGGTGTCCAAACCTGTGAAGCTGCTGGCATATTTTTGCTGTGTAAAGGGGTCCACAAGGTCCAACCTTGCCACAATGTCAAACACTTGGCGTATGCTCACGAGCAGTCGCGGCTTCACGTTAGCAGGGTCCTGGATGCCCTCCATGAGCCAGACGCCATCATTATCGGGGCAAGTGTTGTGCCTCTGCTCAACTTGTGTAGCAGAGTCTACAGCGTACCCATAGTCCCGTCGGGCAACATAAAGTCTTCCGAAGTTCAAGGAAACGGCGACTGTACCATTGAAGTTGATGCTATAGAAAGGCATCGGCAATGTAGCCACTTGCTTGCGCTGCATGATGTCGTACACTATACCAACGAACTTATTGGATGCGACGCGGTCATTGTAAATGATCATGGAATTCGACCAGCCAAGCCATTGCAACATAGTCCCTTGCTGATGATTCCACGCCGTTGTGTTAACCAGGAACTCCAGCCGAGATCCCCGCGGGCTGCCAAAGTCTACAAACCCGATTTGCAACGGATTGAGCTCAGACATTTCGCTGTCATAAGTTGTAACCCGCTGGAAAAGCATTTTGGAGCCATCTCCTGACCAAGGGGATTTATCAAAGTACCCTGAAAAACAAGGAGAACGTATGTAAGCGACATTCCGGAGCCTCATATTAAGTTTTTGGATTGTTAATGGAAATTTGTCGTCTGTAAGGAGTTATGCATGGTCTTACCACTCATATGAACACCTTGTTGCGCGTTGCTAAGTCGCCGCACCTCACCCAAGCCAACGTAGTTATACGGGTCATCGGTTATGTTGGCATGTAAATTACGAACATAATTTCCTAGTTCAGCTATTAACTCTTGGCCTGGTAAAGGGGTAGTAGACAGAGCAGCTGCGGCCTTCCGGGGCTGTATGAAAACCGAATACGCGTACAAGCTTATGAGCAACGAAAATAACAGGTACATTGGCAGGGAAGCTGTCATGCCATATTTTTTCAAAAAAGTCCCCATCATGCTGTCCCACGGCTAAATGAGAGACGCCGTCGACTTCGGACTCGTGACATCATCTCATGCCTAGAAGATGCAGCAAAAGCGGTGCAACATAACCGATATGAAAATTACAACGGAAAGGTACTGCAGGTACAGCAGCGTTTATTACTGTATCCCCAGGCATACAAGATAATCAAGGCAAGAATCACTTGTCTTTTAAAAGAGAAGGCAGTATTATTACAATTCCAGTCGTGCTCACCAGCGGTTTCCCCGGGTAGGCCAAGCAATTACTACCCAAGGCAGGCCAACATTGCTGATAAATTGAATGCAATACAATCTTTGCCGCTGTGAGTCCAATATCCCCTGGCTTCTAAGCTTAGGTCGCAAACTCTATCCTTGCGATTGCACACTCAGGGCGCTTAGTGTACCTTATAAGCCAAAAACGTCACCTGTTATAACGTAAAACAAATTCTTATTTAGCGCTTTACTGGACATTTAGGTCGAACACACCCGACCGCCTGACCCCGTTCTGGATTGGGGTCCGACTCCCTCGAATGAACTCTTATGAATCCCGAATCATCTATACATGCGGGCACCTCTTAAGCAACCAACGCTGCAGCTCCTCATTATGATAACATTATCGTAATAATGTTATACCCCTTACGTCATGATAACAGTTAGCACTTGGTGATCACCGCGGCTCGTTTCCTTATGGAAAAGCCAAGTTTAGTAATTTTATAGTTTCACAGTATAATATATATAAAACCCGCCAGACAAAGCAGGTGATGATAAAGGATACTAACTACCAAAGGGAACGATAGGGTTGCGGTGGGACCAAACATGTTCCAGCATCCTTGCCAGACGTTCAGGTTCCCTCTTCATAGCGTCCTTCATATGCTCGAAGCGTGGAAAATCCATATCAGATCTGATTTTGCCGTACACCTTCCAGCAAAATGTGTTTCTCATCAATATCGCTATCAGTGCCGCAGAGTGCCGCAGCAGGGACATACTCACTCCTTCCTAGGTATGTAACGCCGTCCCTTGCGCGCTCTGTTCGCCGCCAATGCCCAACAGCAAAGCCTTAACTGCATAGGCTTTTGCGATTCGCTGAACGTGGGATAAACGTTGTGATATGCGGGAGCACCTCCTTCCTTGTAAATAAAATTAAGAACCAGCCTAATAAGACCTAGATAAGGAATTAACTTCAAGTTGCGGAAGGTGTCGTAACCTCTGAATCAAAGTGGTTTTGAGGCTCGAAACCCCATGTTCAATTCGCACAGCCTGCACGCATGCCTGGCACATCATCTATTACGGACCTCCCTGCTGGGCCCCCGCGCAGTCAGGAAGTGCATGCGGCCACCTTCGCCAGCTAATGCTTCACCACCACACCCAAACTCGACCCTCATTTGCCTCCGTCCCTTCCTCTGCGTGCGTAAACGACATTCAAGATCTTATAATTGATGATATTACTAGGAATAGGAGTCATCACATTTCTGTATTAAGAATGAAACGTAACTTAGTAGCACGTATCTATTTTCGTCGTCAAAAAAAGACGCTTACCTTAGCGGATACGTCTAAAGCTTGCATTACACACGTAGCGAGGCCTAATGAACTTAGCCGTCAAGATATTGTGCTTTACAGCGCAAAATCGTTTTTGGCCTGCGCTGTTACAAAGGCCTCCCCCTTTTTTTTACTACCTAAGTAAACTAAGCTAGATAGGCCTAAGTCTAAACGGGCTACGTGTGAAACTGAGTTCTTTTGCAAGATACAGGGAGGATGCTGTGATTATCCCGCCTTAGTCAGCAAAGGGGTTGAAAACCCAAAGGGAAAGAAAGAGCCCTTCCCTTCCCCTGAAGGGGAACCCCTTTAGTTCCCCTTTAGGGGATGAACAGAGGGGATAACCAAGGGGGAACCCGAAGGGTGTCAAACTTCTTCATCCCTAAAGGGGAACCGAAGGGGAAGAAGTGCATGCACCCTTGCCGCTTCCATAGCTATGCTCGTTCAAGGATGCTGATAGAATGCCCAGAGCCCAACCTTGAGACAATCGATTTCCCCCACATGCACACCAGCCAACATGAAGCCAGAGGCGGCGTTGTCATTAATGATATCATGCGCAGGTCGCCTTAATAGATTTGACAGGCCAGGAAAATCCCTTTTGCGAACGTTGGGTCAGCTAGTTGGTTTCCTGCATCCATAACCCATTTCATGAAATGCTTCAGAGGTCGAAGATGAAAGCTATATGGGGCTCCAGACCCACCTACCCGTGCAGTACGGTCAATTTCAGAAGCCCACACATGGAATCTTTTCGCACAATCCATACGAAATTCTGTTACCACCGATGTGAGGCAACTGGGTGTCAAGATCCGTTGTCACAAGCAGCCGAAGCTTTATCCCCGTGGTACACCACCGTGCACTCGTTTGTTCTAGGTTCGGTGTTTAGCTTCCGTTTCCAGCTTGGCTGCGGATGGGGAGTATGGTAGCAATGGATACGGTCCTTTTTCAGCACTTACGGAGTTACTTGTGTATGTGTCCGGCCCTGACTAACCTCGGGTGATGCTCAACAACAGGTACGGAGTATGCAGATTAAGCACAGCATCTCAGTTAGTGCAAACATGCAGGACGTCATGCAATGTAATGATTAGTCTGATTTATCATGAATTGTTATAAGCTGTTCCCGAAATTCGAATGTCCTGAAGAACTTGAGGCGGAAACGGTCAATGACGTAGAGGATAGCTAGGATAGCTACGTCGTAAGAGTACTTTGCCTTCCCGACTACTACAACAAATTATACCTCTGGTGAGGCCTTTTGTTCTGTCAATAATTTTTCCTTGTTTCCTTGTCAGTTCGCGGTCCTGAGCCAATCGTTTCCTGCTGAAGCTTTGCTTGCTTAGTGCATCCAGCTTTTTTCGCACAACTCCGAACGACACTTAAAATTGGTTGGATAATCTGATCATATCCTCAACGTTTGAACCAACAATCCTGTTCTGTAAGAATTGATCACCTGCAATATGTACCCGGTAAGGCCCTTTTGCAATTGCAAAAATGGCTTACCGGTAAGCAGCTGTCCAAGTTTAAATGAAACTTTCTGGTAAGCATAGGAGCTAGCCATTTCCTCCAGAGGCGCTCCTTACTTGAGCTTGTTCAGACCGTGAACCAGTATTAGGATGAAAGCAATTTCCTTGTTCCTATTACTGTTTCTCACTGAGATACCTTATGGTACTATAGTTGAGGCGCGCTTCACGCATTTAAATCCGGAACCATTCAACCTTGGTGTTCGAGTTCTTCGGCCTGTGTACGCAATCGTTCCAGTGACTAGGGATGGCGTAAGGAATGTTACCGTAGTGATGACAATATGGCTGAAGCGAGTCGGAGCTGCCAACGGGGTATATGATATGCCGCATCAGTCCCAGGTGCGTTTTGGCATGAGGTACTCCTATATAATAGCGTGTGTGCTATCGTTATTAATGCCTAAACAGGGGTTCATATGGTCAGCGCTCATTGTTTCAGGCTTCTCGATCCAGTACGAACGGTGCAGACTTGCAGATCATGAGGCACCTTGGGTGGGGACAAACCACAACCGGAAGTGAAAGAGATATAACGAAATCAAGAACTTCAGTATCGCGTTGTCCAAACCCCACGGTTTCAAAACTGTCAATTACGATTACGAGGTCAACTCGGACAGTTCCAATACTCGTCTGCACAACAACTCCTAAGATCGACACGGAAAGCAGCTAGGTATCACAGCTGTGGTTAAAAAATGGCTTAGGGATGTGGTTTTGCCCAGAGGTTGCCGTACTTAGCTCTGTGGCTAGAATCTTTGTATAGTTGCTTAGTATTCCCGCAAACCTACTATTGCCACAAGCACAATGCTGTCGGGTCTTCGTGCTGTCACAGGCTGAGCATTTTCGTACCCGCTCCCTCATGCAAACCCGCCGTGGCTATGGTTATGTTTGGGATAACGTCCACAGTCGTGGGTTTCCGAGGAACTGGGTATTGCCCAAGATGTGGGGGTGCCTCTGCTGTGGGATGCACGCAGAAGCAGACCTGAAGGGGACGCCTCCTGACGCTTGGAAGGTGTCTGAAGCGGACCCAGATCGTTTTGACGCCTTGCTGCTGGTTGTCTTGCCCCTGGCATCTGGGGCTTTGCAAGTAATATGGCTTATCGTTTCTATGTTTAGGTTAGTCCACCATGTCACGTGTTTCAACTTGTCCTGGTGCGCCTGCAAGGTTACTCGTACACGGTTAGCCTCTCTTTTAATACGTTAAGAGCATCACAACACCTGGGAGACGTGTTAGTACAGCATACTCTCCACCGTCTACTGGAAAACAAACGACGTTACAAATCCATTCCGAAGATTGTCTGTGAGGGCAATAAAAGCGGGTGCCCCCTAAGACCTGATCCAAACGCAAACAATCGTTCATGATTGGATTCATCGTACGGTAGAATGTTTCTTGGGCGCATTGGACGTGCATGCAAATTTCAGGAGGACCTTTATAGGCTAGTGAAGGATGTTGCAAAGGGCCGTTGGGGGGGGGGATAAGTGTAGAGTGTGTGTGTGTGTATGTGTGTGTTACATGGTTGGGGGTGCGTGACCATGCGAGCCGGAGGCCCAAGGGCAAGGAAACACCGCGCTATCAGCCCAGACTAGCGCCCAAAGGGGATAACAGAGTTGCGGTGAGCCCACATACGTTCCAACATCCTCGCTGGACGTCCTGGCTCCAATTTCATGGCCTCCAACATGCTCTGTTGATGATCGAATCCTTCTTCTGCGCGAATATTGTTATCGTTATAAGCTGAGCATTCCAATAACACGTGTTTTTCATCGTCGACTTGGCTATTGGTGCCACAACAGCGGCGAAGCCGCTGCTCCCTGGGGACATGGTGCTTGCCCCTTCGTGCCCTGTTTGCCTCCAAAGCCCACCAACATAAACGAAACTGCATTAGCTGACGACGCGCTAAACGAAGAATGAAAACTTTAGCATAAGTGTAGTAGCTGGTCGTTGAAAAGGCCTTTCAAGGTGTTGGTGGAGCACTTAGCGTGTATTTGTAGACGTCATGTGTGCCGTACTGTGTACCAGCTACGACATATCTCCCTCTTTGAAGGGATCCGTCTCGGGCCCTTACGGCCACGTATACTACCAGCCTGTGCCTACCTTCGCCTACCCTCGGGCAGTGGCTCTCATCCATGTCTCTTCAAGTGCCGGCTCATATGTGCCTAGCCGTCTTAAGGTTTTTCATGCACAGGGTCTTCCCAGTCAACCACAGCTCCAAATTTGTCATGATATTCGAGGTCTTGATGCCAATTGTAGTAGCTGGCCGCTGAAAAAACCTCTCAAGATGCTGGCAGAGCGCCTTAGCGCGTATTTCTAGACATCCTGTGTGCCGCACTATATACCAGCTACTACAATAAGTTGTTGTAAGAAATCAGGTTGGTGTCACCCGTGCGAAGTGCCAGCTCTCCCGCGTTTCATCTGCTTGCTGGCTCTAGAATTTACTGCCGGTCCCCCATGCTTGATGGCGTAGGATGCCATACGGATGACGGTTTGGGTCGACAACCCTGTAAACCTGTTTCAACGAACAAACGGTCACCTTTTGCTGCCAACGGAGCATGACAAGTGGTCTCCTACATTCCACCTTGAGACAACGCACCCCGGGCCATTGCTGCCCGTTGTGATGGAGACAGGCGATTACCACTACCGGCGTGTCTGGGGAGTTGGGCAACGGCCGTACTCGTTCCGTGTCAACCTAACTGCCGGCACCGGGGATTGCTTTAAGGTGTGTTGTCTCTGTGCGTTTACTACACACGTGCGCTACATCGCTACAGCATCCGCTGCCTAACGTTGCAGGAGGCACCAGCAGCAAACATGTAACCGAGATGTGTTTGGTACTGCAGCCATACATACAACGCCATGCTTCACACATGCTTAATGACCTGCCAAACCCAAACCCAACCCAACCCCTGCCAATTGCGAAACCCTGCTTTTGCCCATTGCATACATGCAGATCGTTGAGGCTAGTTATCCCATGCACAAGAACACATTCTGCCTTCCACCCGCAGCATTTGACAGTGTATGTTCCACTCTAGCACCGGCCCATATCTACACGAACGAGGAGCCAGCGCTGTACACTGTCGTAGGGCCTATACGACATCCAGAATCTAGCCGGGATTGGTCGGGCTACTACTCCAAGGTCTCGGGGATGGTAGTAAACTACGTGACGTACCACGTGGCTATGGGTTCGTCGGGGCTGTTGCTATATGCAGATGAGATGATGAGGAAACACTTCGGGGCGAATCAGGAGCTGCTGGGGCTTATGGAAAAAGGGTATCTCAGGTGGGTGCGCACCCACGGCATTTAGCTGCCACTTGCTGCATGGCAAAGCTTCCATTCATGGGCATGCTGGCCTCTCTTGGTGCGTAATGGTAGGACAGCGCAGCCTTTGCTTATTAAACGTTTTCCACCGTAACGTAATGTTTTAGTGACCAAGTGGTTACTGTGGGGGTTTTCCTTGGTAACCACTTTACAAAATGTTTTCCTTCACACGCGTGTTTGGGATCATTTTCAAGTCATTGCTAGTTCATAGAGTATCGAAGAAATCCTAATAAACAAGCCGTCTGAGCAAGCTTTCGTCGACTTTGACTCTATGTACGGCACGGCAACGCGTTCCCGAGCCAAGATCAGTGAAGCACCACTGCTCACGTCCAAGCGTCAAAAACTTTAATAAAGTGGTCGCTACCACTGCGGGGGGTCTGTGGCCCAAGTTCCTGGCGACTGCTGGCACGTGACTCAAAACATTTCCTAGTGACCACCTTCTGGAAGGGAATTATTTCTCAGTAACCACTTGGTCACTAGTAACCGCTTTTAAAAAACACTGAGCACAGCTATCCATCACCACGACGGCCGCCTGCGAAGACGATGGCATGCAGGCCAGCCTAGCATATGCACACCACCGTTCCATACAACGTGGGGCAACTGCATGCCCTGCTTCAGGCTGATCGACTGGGACCTGCCCGAGCGTGCACACAACGATACAGATGGTGTGGGACGACCGCTGGGGTAGGTGAAGGGGGGAAGCAGCAAACCTGGGTAACGTGTATGGACGCGGCCCTTCAATGGTGGGGTCGTGGAGCTATTTCCCTGTGCGGCGATATGAAGTGCGGCTGGGCGCGTGTTCCTTAGGTGTCCAAGGGTAGGTTGTATGGCAGTAGTTCGTGTGCTTGCGGAATGCCTTGAACATGGAAATGTAAGGACCTACACCACATGGTCACATGCATACTGCGGATACGACTTGTATTAAATTGCAGTTAAAAGGTATAAGGCTCCAAATTGAGAAATCACTCTACCCCCCTTTGCGTCCCCGTGCATCCGTTCGCAACCCCAGCTACAACTACGACCAGGGACTTGTCTCGAATCACATCCTGCTCGCGCTGTCATCGTGCGGTGCCAACCTGCTCGTCCTGATCGGTGACCTGGACGAGTTCATCTACTTCCCCAAGCCGGGCCGCAGGTGGCCCAAGCCCTGGATGCGGTGTATGGGAGGCGGTGAGGGCTCCCCCTTAGAACCCATAACAGTCCATCGAATTCACCGGTTTAATGCCGCCACCACGAAGTTCAACCCATCATACGAACCAACGCTGTGGACTATCCCGGGCACTCTCAACGCGCGAATCAACAGCAATGGTACCATCGAGACCGTTCCTAAGGGTGCCGTGCCGCATCCGCTGGTGCAGTACGATGTGCTGGGCACCCAGCCACTGCCCATTAACCAGGTCAAGCAAGCATCCCTACCTGCCGCTTGGATTGTACTGTTTTGGGTACACGAGGGCGTGCCGCTGTACGGCAAGGCCAATATGGTTAATTTCAAGTGCGTGTCGATCTTGCACATACCCAATGAGTTTCGGGGCCGCTACAGCGCTGTGGATGACAAATCATTGGGATCCGGCATGCGTTATTTCCGGCACTGGATGTTCTTGACGCCGAACAGCACAAATGCGTCATTGTGGGAGCCGTAATTGCTCAACAAATCGGGAAGGTGCGGGCTGTTATGGTACAGCAATGGTCGATACGGCTTACATAATAATGAATTTGTTGCTGTGTAAACATCTCGCGATCGAAATGTCCGAATATTGCCCATCCAGTCTGTCCGATCCTGTGTAACCTGCAGACTGAGAATGTAGTAGCTGGTCGTTGAAAAGGCCTCTCGAGATGCTGGCAGAGCGCCTTAGCGTGTATTTGTAGACGTCATGTGTGCCGGACTGTGTACCAGCTACTATATTTATCCCCCTCTGAAGGGATCCGTCTCGGGCCCTTACGGCCACACACCCCAGCCTGTGCCTACCATCTCCTACCCTCGGGCAGTGGCTCTCATCCATGTCACGTCAAGTGCCGGCGCCTAGCCGTCTTAAGGTTTTCCATGCACAGGGTCTTCCCAGTCAACCATAGCCCCAAATTTGTCACGATAGTCGTACACAATTAGACGTCGAACCCGATTTTCGTGCGATTGGTGGGGTTGTACCGACGACTTCAGGATCGTACACATATACGAGGTCCCAATACAAAATGTAGTAGCTGGCCGCTGAAAAGGCCTCTTGAGATACTGATGGTGCGCTTACCGCGTGCTTGTAGTTGTTATGTGTGCCGTACCGTGTACCAGCTACTACGGAAAAAGCCTTCAGTCTAATCCCAGTCAACAACCCAGCGATACATACACGGGTGAATAGATTAGGGTGCCCCTCTAGCAGGGGAGAGCAGGGCATTGCCTCGGGAAAGGGGGCCGCTGGTGAAGCTATACCACCCTGTAACGACATACATACATACACGCGGCCCTGCTTGAGGCCCACCCTGACCTGAAACAGTTGTAGAATGCATGGCCGCCGGTTGGCATCCGAACATCCGATATCAAGACCTCGTGGATTTCGCAGGTGCCTATTGTGCTCTTTACATAAGCATGCTTTGTGTGATCCCCGTGTCGACGTTCGTAGAGACGGGTAGGGCAGTCGCCCCAGCCCAACATTCCTGGGAAGAAGGGTGGGGTGAGCCTTGGCGGCTTGCGTGATGTGTGCCAGGCCGTGCAGCAACGAAGCAGTTTCGGCTATGAAAACCTGTATGGCTCCTGTCAGGGACCGTACAAAAACCGTGCCCATTCTGTCCTTCAGCCTGCCATACTTAAACCTGTCTCCTTACATATCCCTTGATACAATCCATGGCCCGTACCCTAACAGTACATGCTTCACGTTATCTCATTATTGATCGACGCAATTATTATCGCCACATGCAATGCGCGCCCCACCTCACAGTGGCCCGGGCTCAGTTCCTTCTCCCAATTTCCCCGCTCGTCGTTCCGGCAACACCATGGTTTCACACACTGGCTTTCACCACGCCGCTATGGCATTATTGGGTCCCAAGCAAATGTGTCCACGCCGTCCATCCTATGCTCAAAGCCTGTCAGCAGTCCCTCTCGCTGGAACGAGGCTACTCAATGTGTGTATGCCGCCATGATATTCCGGCTGCCCCCTGGCAGCCGTCTGTCCAATTCTCTAGATTGCCTGAGGGTGGGAATGATAGACTGCCGCTGCAGCAGCGACGTTATTTGCTCATGTGGTTTGGTTCCTTGCTATACAGTGCACGACGTCTAGTAGTCCCGGCTCGACAGCAAGCGCCATGCGTTGACGATATGCGACTGCCGTTTCCGCTGCGGCCGCCGTTTCCACTGCTGCAGTTAAGTCCTTAACCCCTTAGCCGACGCCGACACTGACGCCATTGCAACCACATCCAATCCGCAATAAGGCCCTCTTAATGTGCGAAGACCCAGCTCCGAATGGGTTGCAGCAACCCTGCCTCCGCCGGCTTGCGACGGCCGCCGTGGAAATTGGGCACATGCAGCAGCACCATGCAATTATGGTGCACAAGCTGCGTCGTGCCGTACAGAGGTACAGCGTCGTGGACGAAAAACAATACAACCCCCGCGGCAGGTTGCATGACAGCCTTGCCATGCATGCGGCTCAACGGCTCCGCAAACATCTGATCATAAAACTCCAGAGGATGCAAAAAGTTTGCGTTAACGCCACCAAGGGCACCATTGCCACTGGCATTCGCGCTGGCGAAGTTGCTGTTTCCTCCGCCATCCGCCGTCCTACCTAGCATCCCTGGCGTGGCCCAATATTTGCGTTCTTCTTCGGGTGGGATTGTGCTGGACAGGACCTCGAAGCGCTGCAGTGAATACAATGTGATATTGGGCCCTGCGTTGGCCATGCAAGCTTGCAGGGGCTCTGGCCATTGGCGGTTAGGCTTGGGGATGTACACATACTCGTCGATGTCGGTGACTAGGACCCACAAGTTGGACCCACATGACGACAGGCCCAGGTTGACGTGGCTGGCGAACAGAGCCTGATCGTAGTTATACCTGTTGCGCAAAGGCAGGCGGGTTTCACACCACATCGCAGGTAATAACACCATGGCCAGGACGGCCGGCCCCGCTCAAAGGCGATGGCTCCCATGCCGCGTGGCTCCGACACCTTTTGCAACGTGGCAGCCCGCCTAAGCCCACCTAAGGCCTAAGGATGCGAACCCTCTTGGGAGGATCAATTACATCAACCGCGACGAAGAAGCTGCCGCGCAGGATAACGCAGTGTTGTATTTCTTTGGGGGGCCCTCACCGTCAGCTTTTTTCCCGTATCTTTGTTGCCCTGCCCGTGCCCTTCGTTAGCAAACGCAAGCATGGGCGTTGCCCAGCCAGGAGGAACCGCTGTGTTCACTACCACCTTCCAATCGCTATTTTAAGAGGCGCACACTGTATTGGGGCGCGCAGGGGACCTGGTCCGGCAAGAAATAATCTACCGCTACCTCAGCCGCTGGCTCTACCTGAGATGAGAGGTGCTCAACTAACTGCTTTAGTGCACGACCAGCCGTTAAACTAAGCAAATGCAGTACAGTGCAAAACAAGGTTAATTGATGTTCGTCTTTTCGTGAGCTGCTTTCGCGGACGCAAGCCAAGCCGTAGCGCTCGAACTGGCAAGCAGCGACCAACGGAGTTCAGAGTTCACCTAACCATTATGATTATCCTAATCCCCAAATGTGCGTTTGTTCACTATTACAGCTGCGCGCCCGCCCTGCTAGCGCGCAGCGCTGCACGCACACTCACCCGAGGGGTCGCCCCCTTCCGTCATCATCGTCGTGGCCCCGCTCGGGCATGTCCCACGTAATGAGCCTGCAAGGCCACCATACGAGCCAGAACAGTAACGTCCAAGCGGCATGGAGCATGAACACTTATGGACTTCACAACGGAGTCTAGGTAGAGGGTAAATGTTGACTGGGTTTAATATTCCAAAACAAATATCTTGTAATTCCGTTCTTATTTGTTGCATTCCTATTCTTTCAGCAAGCGGTGCATGTAGTTCAAGAAAGACCCATGGGTCTCGGTATTCGTACATACCGTAAAAATGAAAGCCACTCAACCCGACCAGCACGACCACCCGCCGCCCGGCCTACGTGTGCTATCGTGGATTTCAGCAAAGCAAAAACCTCTCCTCAAGCCGCTGAACCCAGTCAGAACCTAGCACACCAGCACAGCCAGCAGCCCATACCTCACCTTAGCTGCCAGACCCCTAGCTTGCCGGCGCGCCACCGGCCCGCAGTGCGGCACTCCGGACTAAACCCAAAACTCCTCTTCCCCCTGCTGTCGACTCGCACCGCTACAGCTGACCCTACCGCTACTGCTAGAATCAGCGCTAGACCGTAGCTTGCCCTCCTCTTGAGCCGGCCAGGCCCCGCCGCAACTGGCCCCTGCATGTCCGCGTCTTCGCCGTCTCTTCCTCAATATCCCGCAACGCAGCCGTTTGCTGGTTCACAGGAGGCACCTCCCCCTCCCCGCGTAGACAATCCTCGCAAACCGACGGTCCCACCTGAGTCGGTCTTCTCCTCTGGCCCACGTGGTCCCCATGACTCACATACAGATCCCGTGCCATTGGTATGATGGCAGGCACCTTCCCCTCTCCCTTTCCCCCTCGCAGGCCGAGGTGTTGGTCGTTCATCACACACACAAACACACACATGACCCACTTGAGGTGGCCCCGCCGCAGCAGCTCCGCGGTGTACGGATCACGCTCCAGGTACATTCGCTGCAACTCATCCGCATATAGCAGAAGCCCCGCGGCGCCCATCGCCATCTGGTAGTTTACGTAGTTCCACACTTGTGCAGCTACCTGGGCCTGGTAGCCCGCCCAGTCGCCAGTGGAGGATGTGTGCCGTACGGCGCCGATGGCGGTGTACAGCGCCGGGGAGCTGGTGTCGTACTGACCGGGCGGGGCCAGCCAGTCGCACGTGGGGTCCAGTCTCGCGGGGGGAAGGCAAACCGGGGCTTTGTGTTTCGGATAGCTGGCCTCTATAATCTGTGCAAGGGAAAGAATGGGAAGAACGCCGTCAAGTCGGGTCGGGTTGCGGTGTTTGGAGCCTTCGAGGCTGCAACGTGGCTGCACGGGCTTGGGACTCCGTAACGCAGGCGGTAACGGGAACCCAGATCACGCACTGCAAAACTTACGTTGCTCTCTAAGACCGGCAGCGGCATCAGTTCCAACTCGTTCGCAACACCAGGCCCAGCTGGGACCGCTGAGCTGTCTCTGTTACGGCGCCATTTTCCTAGGATTCACTCTCCGCGGTTCCCAAGGCGCTCTGATGATAGGCCCACATCCTTAAATGTTTCGCGACACCGATTATTCCGTACCTTGAAGCAGTTCCCGACACCCTCAGGCAGGTCGACCCGGAAGGAGTATGGTCGAACAATGTGGTCGATAACCTTGCGCTTGAGGCCTTCCTTCGGCTCGTACTCGGCACGCAGGATTGGGCCCGGCATGACCGTTTCCAAGAGGAGGTCTGGCATCCATTTGGAATGGTCCTCCGGCAGTTTGAGATGACCCCACTGTCGGTTGTGGAGATTGGAAGGGTCATCCACCCACACCACCATACGAATTGAATCCTGGGATGCCCAATCACCGGTCGTAAAGCGGGATCATGAGGCAGGAGGGGCATGTGCGCTTAGAATTATGGGCACTGAGTCATCGCGAGAACAGGCAACGAAGGCCAGCCGACACAGACCGAGGCCTGGTGAGTCTCTGAAAATTTAATCCCAAACACCGTTTTCCAGATATGAGCTGAAATACCTGTGTTTGGTGCGGTAAATCGTAGGGGGCTGCCCTTGCACCAACTCGCTTTAACCAAATGGTCAGCGCAACCGTGACGTTTTTGCTGACATCCCGCATCTCGGGAATAACTGCAAATACAGGCCGGATGATCCGCACGCCCAGGTCTGACGAGCTGGGCACGAGCTGCTCGGAGCCCCTGGGTTGGGGTTCTCCAGCTGAGGACGAAGAGTGCGCCTGGCTAAAGGAGATTACTTTTCTAGCTGTAATAACGATGATGTAAACCAGCAAAGCGAAAGTAATCGCTTTGGCTAGCCACCTCCGACGCATCATGCAATGCAGCGGTTACAAAATGCTTCGGAAAAGACAGTGGGTGGTAGCAGACACCTCAAGTGCAGCTGTCAAAATGTCTACCTTTCGGAAGCATTGGTTGCCAGGCGTCTTGCGATATTGAGCATCATGATTTTCGCCTAGTTTGGTCACGGCAGGCAAAACGCGAGGAGTGCCGTACTTCTCCCGCATGGAGTTTTATCCCGTTCCAATCTCATGAAAGTTTTGCAGCCGTTCTGGCTTCGCTGTTAAAAAAATGCTCTATAAAAGTCATATATAATGCTTCTCTATTTTCTCTATTAATGTTACATCATGTGTTATGCTTCAGGCATACGGGAATGTGCATCGCTTTGGGCGCACAGTATGCACAGCCAGCTGTCTTAACCCTGTTAGCTATCCGTCAACCACGTTTCTTGAGCACCCGAATAACAAAAAAAGTTGTGAAAAACACGCTCGATCACCTGAGTATACAAAAACTGAGCACATCAGCTTGCAGCCCCGCAGTCCTTCGTTACTGTGCCCGTTGGCATATCACACAAATTACGGTAAACTCTTTGATTAGCGAGGATGGCTCTTTATGGCGCCAAAATGAAATGGCATCAGTAGATGTAGCCTATTGGCTTTCTAGGGTCGACTCTCCGCCTTCGCTTCCCTGCTGGGGCTGCCCTGCCTGGGTTGGGATTCAGTGAGCCCCACCATCTGGTCCTACGGCTTGTGAGCGGCCTTAGACTTGCTTGTGCTGGGTCAGATTGGTCCAATACCGGTATGGAGGATTATTCTCTAGCCGGGTAGTAGGTGTTGGGGATTATCATTATACAAGCCCACATGCAGCCTCGCTTTATCCTGCCATAGGGTGATTTGGAATTAGTGGTTATCATCACCCCGCCCCCGCCCTGCCAAGCCTTTGAGAGCTTTGGGCTGTCCAAGGGGTGGTGGCTTTGGCGGTTAGGGTTGCCCATGGTTGGCTACCCCCCCTTTGTTACCTTCTTTAGGGTTTTATTCTGGGCTCCGTTTGTCCCTTGGTCGTGCTCTTACGGTGCATCCCCTTAAGAGGTGCTACTGGGCAGGCGGGTGAGTGCCTCTGGTTGCTTGGTACTGTCTGAGTCACGTTACAAAAACGTCAAGATGCTCAGAAATACTTGGCTGCACGGCCACCCAGGCACGGCCGTGCGCCATTCGAATTTCCACATAACTTTCTTCATCACCTTAGTAAAACGCGCGTCCTATTTGCCATCGTGCCGTATCGTACACCACAGACACGCAAGCAGCACAACGCTGGGCAGCTACCAAGCACTCACGTATGTAGAGCATTGCGATGGTTAGGTTAAGACCTGCGCCGCAATCCAACGCACATTCCAGCAGCGCAACCGCCGCATCATGTACGTGCGGCCTGCTGGGTATACACGAACATGCCACAGCCGCGTGTATGACGTGGTTGAATGTGCTGTGCAAGGCTACTATGGGCCGTCCCGCCGTGGGACCCACCGTCACCATCACCGCCACCATCACCACGTATACTTGAAGCGTCATCACTAGTGGGTCCCGCGGCGCATACCAGCATGCACACCACCAATACCGTACGAACAAAACAGCGTGCGTGTGCGCAACCCCTACACCCAGCGAGATGACCTACCCACCCCACCCAGCCACCCACACCCCAAAGGCCCAAGCACCCAGGACCCCTCGTGATGCTGCTGGCGTCCGCACCAGCTGCATCAGCTAGATCTAACTGCGGGATGATGAATTACACAACTCGCCCGAATATCAAATAGACTCCCCTTTGCAGCTCCCCTCCCTTCGCCGGGTGTTGCGACCTGACGCGCCGATGTGAAAACTCTGTACCGGAAACACACGTCACGGCAAAAAACGAGAGTGCAGGAGTGGTGGCCCCGGAGTGGTGGCCCCTAATGCACTGGTGGCGCCATTTGCCTTGCGGCATATGAGCAGATCGTTAGAAGTTGCCTATTCTGGACATATATAAATGAGGCGCCCATTGGGAGTGCCGAGCGCGTCGTCTTTCCTGATTGTCTGAACGGCTAACTACTCGACTGCCTAACTGGCAGAGTGGGTTGTGGCTGGGTCGTCTGGGCCTTGCTTGCTTGTCACGTCCGGCGGTTGCGGTCCGCGATACCGCGGCCCCCTCCACCGCCACCGCTGCTGCCTCCCCCACGACCTCCCACCAAGCCTGGCCCCGCCATGCCCGTTGTCCGCCCTCCCCCGACCCCAACGCCTCTCTCCCCCCCTCCGGGTGCTGCCCGTTTGAACTTGGGGTAGCCCTCCCCCTGATCCAGTAGGGCCACTGCCCGCCGGCTGAGCGCCACCTGCGGCCCCCATGCAATGAGGATGGGGGGAGAGGGGAGGGGGAGAAAGGGAGGGCAATCGAGAGGAGTTGACAGTCATGATTGGGGAGTCAAATTGTTAGGCAGTTAGGAACCAGGGAGCTTTGTGACTTAACAAGGTTGCATGAGCCGGTCCTTTTAAAATGCGTCGTATGTGAAGCTAGGCGCGGAACACCAATATTGATACAGGAAAGCATTTCTTCCTTCCACCCACCGACTCACTCACCTACCGCCAGACCAAGTGAAGCCAAGTGCTTTCTTGGCCCCGTCTTCCCCCAAAACCCCCGGTCCTGCGCCGCCGCTACCACCCTCCAGCCCCCCTCGCTTCGCTTTAAAGCCCCGGGGTCCCCATCCCCCTTTCCCCCCTTTCCTGAATGACCCACCTTTCCCCCGTCGCACGACATGACCATGACATCAATCTTGTCACCAACCGCCACAACGGAGCCCACGTCGGAGGGCGGGGGGTCCGCCAACTCGCTGACGTGTACCAAACCCTGAAGGGAACACACAGACACACGGACACAGACGACCACAAACACACGACCCATACGGCAGGGAGCCCGGGAAATGATATCAACAGGAACAAAGGGAACAGGAAAAGGAAAACCGGGAGGGGAGGATCATACCGATGCAAAGGAAGCAACACACCAATTCCGGGACGGGGAGAAGCAAATATGCGTAAAATGATGCAGGTACCGGAAGTGAAAGGGAAAACCAGCATGGCAAACATATGAAAAAGAGCATTAGGCGAGGGCTGAGGGGAGGGAAACGACATGCAAATGCCAGGTGTTTCAGGGCCCCTCAGAAACCATTGCCCCAGGCAGGACCGCGGGAGCCCCACCCCGGAGGAGGTTAACAACGGCCACACCCCAAGTGGAGATGAGGACTGCCCCGAACTCGCGAGAGCTCTCCCTCCCCTCAACCCCCCACCTTTTCTCCTAATCCTCATGGCCCCCTGCACCCTTGGCCACCACCAGCAGCACCACCGCCACCACCGCCGGTCTCCCAGCTCTTCCTCCCCAACCACTTCCCTCCCCCTTCCTTCCCAGGTCCCTCTCTCTCCTTTCCTCTCCTTCCCCCACCTGTCGTCCTGGACATAGCTCCACGAAGCAGCCAAAGGCCGCCACGGACGTCACCGCCCTCTGCCTGCAGACCGAAGGACGTTGGGGATGGAGGTGGAGCCCAGCGGGTTGAGGACAGGCATACATACAGAGACACATACATCAATATAGGGACAGATTCAGACAAAGGCAGACAGTCCGACAGACAGACAGATGCACAAGCAGCCATCTACCACCACCTTCCTCCCCGCGCACCTGAGCACAGTCCCCGGCTCCGGGTCCGAAACCAGCAGGTTGATCAGCTCCATGGCGCGAGCTGCGGCCTCCTGGCTGGGGGACACGACATTGACCTGCACCCCGGGGGGTTGGGTTGGGTTGGGTTGGGTTGGGGGGAAAGGGGGTTAAGGGGGGGAGAGAAAGATGTCCCGGCAGAGCACGGGGGAAATACCCCTCTTACAGTTGTACACTCGCCTGCCAGGCTCTCCACTTCGCCGCCTTCCTCCTCCCCGGCCACCTTGGGCGGTGGTTCATTCCGTGAAGAATAAAATATTGTTGTTGGGGTTTCGCTGTGTCACGTATCCTACCTCATACTCCTCAGGGTTCTTCAACAGCGTACCCAACATTTTTGATTGTGCCCGAAACCCTCTTGAGTAACCTGCCGGGGCCCTCCCCGAAAGCTCCCCCGTCAGGCCCCTGACATTTTCTTCGGGCACCCCGAAACTGTCCCGAGCGGTTTTCGGGGTAAAATTAAGCTGTATTCTATTGCAAAATGCTAGATCGGCTGTTTGACGTTTTTGGGATCGCGGGGCCCGAGGGCAGTCGTTCAGGCAAGGATGTTACCCCAAACCGAGGAAAATCTGTGCGATGCAGTTCACGTATATGTCGGGTAGGTTAATGCCAGACTTCAGCCGCAATGCACGTTTATTACTTGTTGTTGTTTGACTGCCGACCAAGCGGGCCTTACACTGCAAGAGTCTGTTTCAGGGCGCCTTCCGCGCCCGGAACCACGTAGATTGACGCTAAAGTATCTTTCGGGTTTTCCTGGAAACGCCTTCGATTGGCTTCCGTGGCGGACCCGAAGCCGCGCCTCGCGCAGTCCAAAATCCTTTCGTATCACTCCGGGCTGCATCATTTTTTCTTTCGGGCAAAACGGAAAATTGTCAAAAATGTTCGTGCCCGAATCGGGGTGGTGAGCCCGGATCCTCCTTTGCAGTCCTCTTTCTCTCACACACACACACACACACTGCCACCCCCTGCTCTTTCCCCTCCCTTCCCCCCAGGCCTCCCCCACTAACCCGGCCGTCCTCGTCCAGTTCGATGGCTGTAACTCCAGTAACTTCCTTTAGCTGCTTGATTGTACGACCTCCCGTACCGATGATGGCACCGATCTTGGCTGGGTCAACCTGGCGAGGGAGGGGGAAGGGGGACAGGGGGGCCCCCAAGAGGAACACAAAGGTGGTGAGAGAATTGAGCATAAAGACAGGATAGAATGCAAAAGCCACCAAACTTTTTGACGGGATGGATTTAGGATCCACAGACCTCCCGGATTCTGCATTGATGCGGTTCTGCCGTACTAGTGGTACTGAGCTGAAGGGGGTCAACACGGGCCTATAAACACCTCAGACAAACAGATAGACAGACAGTCAGACAGACAGCGGTGGTGGTGGTGGTGGCAGGTGAGGGTCTGACAGGAAACCGCCATGGCGCCTGAGGGATGGAGGAGTGGGAACCAAGGCGCTGGGCGGACGAGGCGAGGAACACTTCCCCACGTCGCCCCAACAGGAAATCGCAAACATCGCACCCCACCCCACCCCACCCCACCCCAGCACCAAACCAAGCAACACATCCTCACAATGCTTCACAGCGCGTCCCCCACCGCCCCCGGCCCCCACCGGCAGTTCACTTCCCACCTCCTCGCACATGAGTTCCCCCCTCGGGCCCCCTCCTACCATAGTTCTCAGCAGCCGGGGTGCGTGCGCGTTCAGTCGTCCGGCGGGGGGCGGACTGCACCGCTCCATTTGCTGCAGGATGTGTCTGCGACCCTCCCGGGCCTGATTCAGAGCTGAGGACATGATCTCCAGCGTGATGCCCTCCACCTTCGTGGGCATGTGCACACAGTGAAGACATACATACATATAGACATCCATATAGTTTGTACGGGTTCGTACACCGTACCTTGATATCCATCTGGAATGCCGTAATGGAGTCCGTATCCCCGGCCACCTTGAAGTCCATATCCCCCAGGGCGTCCTCACTACCCAGGATGTCGGACAACACCACGTGACGGGGGGAGGAGGATCCGGATCCGGATTCAGGATCTGGATTCTGGGCTGCTGGTTCCAAGATAAGGCCCATGGCAATGCCTGCCACGGGCCTCAGAATGGGCACTCCTGCGAGGGGTGGAGGGGGCGGTGATATCGTGAGGGGGGCTTTTGGGTGTGATTGGGCTGGAGGGAGGCAGGGCAGCAGTCGCCGTCATTGCCGCTAAATAAATACTGCGAGCAGGAGGACACGGACACGGACACGGGGGAGCAAGCGGCTGCGCGCCTTGGTGGTTTTTGCAAAGCAGGGAAGGAGGAGCAGTTGGCCCTTTATGACCCGGTGTTTACCCCCTCAGGGCCCCCCCCGAGCCCCCAGGCTTGGCATTACTGCTTTCTCTGCTTTTTTAGTCCTGGAGGCTTAGGTAGGTAGTTTTTCCGACATCATCTTCACTACGTCATCCGGAGGTCGCCGTCTTCACGGACGCCTTTCGGTCAGTTCTACGTCTGGTACACTCTTGCCCTGGCAGCAGCTTCACTCGTTTGTGGTTCGTCTTTCCCCCCCCCAGCCCCCCCCCAGCCCCCCTCACCCGCGTCCTGCAGCGCCAGACAGCCCCCGCACACGGAGGCCATGGAGGATGAGCCGTTAGACTCCGTAATGGTGGACTCCAGCCGTACGGTGTACGGAAACTGCTCTTGGTTGGGCACGATGGGGGCCAGTGCCCGCTGAGCTAGCTCACCATGGCCCAGCTCACGACGACCTGAGGACGACCCAGAGGCAGGTGGGGGTGGAGGTGGGGGTGGGGGTGGGGTTGTGAAGATAATCAAACAGGAAAGGGGATGGGGAGGTGGGAGTACTGGGACTTGAACCCTAAGATCAAGAAGACACTCGGCCTGGGATGTGAGAAAAGGAAAAGTGGAAGAAAAGAGTGGAAGAAGGGGGCCCCAGGCAAGTACGGCAAGAGAGAGACCGGGGGGAGGGTGTACAGCATGAGAGGGGGATCGAGGAAGGGATAGCGAAGGCCCCCCAGTCCCTCCGCCCCTCCACCCCCCCCACCTGGTCCCCCCACGCGGCCGGTCTCGCCCACACTCGACGGCGGGAAGTGGTACTGCAGGTAGAACCGCCCCTCGCCACCGTCATCCTCCTCGGCCTACGAAAGGAAAGAACAAGCGCAAGTACGGCATAGGTACGACATGTTCCCATGCTAAGAGAGCACCGGCAAAGAAACCCTGGTCGAGCAGGAAACACCCGCAGTGCGCCGTGGAACCTATAAAAGTAGTGCGGGGCGGGCCGGGGCGGAGGAGGTGCACCGTATGGAGGTGGAGGAGCGGGTACATGCAGGAAGTAGCTGTAATACGGCGAGGAGCAGGAGCTCATGACCAATATTGTGGCGCAGGTAGGGCCGCGCTTCTTCCCCTCCTCTCGCTGCCATTGCCATGGACTCCACACCTAGAGTACAGTCCCAAGACCTAAAGTTCGCCCGCCGCCATGCGGAATGCTCGCCCAACTTGACCCGGGGGGACGGGGGTCCTCTCTCAACGGGAGGGGTCCGCTAAGGGAGGCATGCCGTATAGTGTGTTTACATAAATACGGCTCCGTACATACTTCCATGTCGTACCTTTCTCATGGTGTCCGCCCGCAACGCGTCGCTTGCTGTTCCCAGCGTGGCGACACAGATGGCCTTTAGGGCGGGGCGGGGTGGGGTGGGGTGGGGAAAGGATGGATAACTACATCAAGTACGACACAACTGCAAATCAGCCCCGAATGGTCCCAAGGTACGACTGAGGTTTGTTGTGGCGGTTGCGGTTGGCGGTACACTGGGGGAGGTTGGGAGGCCTCTTCCCAGGGGCGCGGGCCCCCGGTTGGAGGACCTCACAGGCCGGGGGGAGATCCCGAATCACTTCACGTACCCATGCTTCCTCCTGCGCACTCGTACTGCAGTCGTACTGCAGTCGTACTCGTCCTGTCCGCCGGCAACAGCAGCAGCCCACCAGCGACTAGCGATAGGAGTGGGCGGACGTCTATGTGCTTCTGACCCTTAACACCTAGTCCTTCCCCCCCATACGCATATCCATACACATACACACAAACACACACGTACAACCCCGCCCCACCCCGCCCACCTGCGTCTCCCCCCGGGTGAACAGCGCACTGCCGTGAGTCCGGGGCAGCAACCCCGCCCGGCTCGCGATGGGCCGTATGTCCGTCACACGCCGCCCGTCCGCACGAATACCCTCCTCAAGCACCAGCGACCGCATCACGCGGCTCTCCACGGACTGCCGTACCGTAAAGTACGATGTAGTGCCGTACGGCACGTGTTAGTTCGTAGCGTTACATGGCACGGGATGAAAGGTAAAAGGATGTTGATTAGCGCCATCAATGTGCGGTGTGGGACCTCGGTGCGGTGGCGGCAAGCAAGAAAACACTGCGGTTGGGTCCCGTCCCAGGCTGGTGGTATGTGCCCGGAGGGGGGGAAAGACGAATCACGAGCCCCGGGGGAGGGGGGAGAAGTCATTATGTGCGAGAAAGTGGGAAGTGAGCTGTCGGTGTGTCCCAGGTTCTAACGCCGGGGGGGGAGGGGGAGGGGGCGGCGGTGGAATCCCTTGCATGAAGCCAGGTCCCACCAAGTGGAGTGGAGTGGAGTGGAGTGGAGTGGAGTGGAGGGGCGCAACAGGCCCTTACCGGGAACCTCCAGGCGTCTACACGTCCTTCGCAACCCTCCTCCTCCCCCTCCCCTTTTGGTGGGTGTTGCTCACCTCCCCCTCCAACACCAAGCCAGCCAGCCACCCACCCACGCAGGAGTCGGGCTCTGCACCGGCAACGGAGCCCCATGGACCCATATGAACTCCACGGGTAAAACCCAACCCTGCCGTACCGCTCTTTTCCCCCGGGCCCCTTCCGGAACATCTCCGCCCGGACCCCCGCGACAAAGTTCACCTTGAGCGCCATGCTGATTTGAAGGGCCGTGTACGGCGCCGCCGTACCGTTGCCGTCCGTCGCCGCCCCCAGCTTCGCGGTCGCCATTGCTTGCGCCTCCGCCACCGCCGCCCCCCGAACCTCCTTACTGAGAGATGTCCTGTCAGTGTACGGATAAGGGTGTGCGTGTGGTATGGGTGTGGGTTTAGGTGCGGGTGCGGGTGCGGTGTAAACACAGAGTGGAACAGTACACATTAACAACACTGGACCTACGGCAATTATTGCACAGAAACGGCGCCGTGATGAATATCGGCGTATGAGTCAGCAATACAGTGCTGGTGGCCCCGGTTTGTGTTCTCGACCCAGCCCTCCGGGGCCCCGGCCCCACCGTTCGGGTTCCGGAGCTCCCGCCACAGCCCCATCCCTACCAGGACCCCCCCCCCACCACGCCCTTCACAACCTGGCCCCTTGCTGCCACCGGGGCCCCCTTCATCCGGATGGCATCAGCTTCACCCATCCGTGGTTCGTCTTCTTGTTTTTTCCACCCACCCACCCACACATACATACATACATACATTCACACATTCCACCCTCCCCACCCACCCACACGCCTCAGCCAGTCAACACAGTCACTCGCACTGTACGGCAAGTACCTCCGCGTGTCTGTGCGTAATCCTCCCCCGCCCATATAACCGGCCCCACCAGACACAGGCACCGTACATACATACCTACATACATACACACACGCACGCACCTGTACGCCTCCCTCAGCTGGGGCCCCACCAGCGCCATGACCCGCTCCTCGAGATCGTCAGGCACCGAAACCACACTTTCCGTACGCTTGGGCTTGCCAACCTGCACGACACATGCACGGCAATCGTACGACGCAAGTATGGAAGCAGTATGTATCTTACGCCTGGAAGCAGGATCCAATTGCTACCGACAGCAAATCCACAACGCAGCCACCAAACGCGAGTACGAGGCCTCATAGCTACACAAACAAAAAAAGAGGGATGTGGAAATCCCCCGGGGGGTGGCACACACCCATACATACAGACGCACGCACGCACCTTCTTGGCCCAATCCTCCATTTGCAGGCACAGCGAGGTGATGGCCTGGCTGCCAACAGCAAGAGCCTGGGGCCGAGGTGGCACGATGGGGGGGGAAAGGGGGAAGAGCGGAGGGAGCCGAGGGTTCCGGGAAGGGCCCGAGAACGACTAGGTGGGAAAGTGCACCGATACGACCATATGCTGATAGTAGAAGATGATGTACGGCAGCTTGTAAAAGACGATCGAGTCGATTTCCAACGTCTCGTCTAAAGGCGCCAACCATACAGGCGAAGTTCAAAGCAACTCAACTCATTGGCAAGCTGCCTCCGCAGTTGCCGCGGGGGGAAGAGAGGATGTGCCCGGGAAGGGGCTGCGTGTCGCGGGGTGTTTCGTTTCGTTCGAATAATGACCCGAGGGAGGGATCTCCCGGAGGGAAGAGGGGGAAACCATGTACGGCAACGGTGCGAAAAGTTTTTCAGTTGTAGGTTTTTCCTCCTTACCGAGCGGTGCAACCCCCTCCCTCCCCTCTCTCCCCTGCTCCCCCCCATCCCCGGGTTCACCTCAATCATTTGCTCCTCCGTCAGAAAGTCACAGAAGCCCTCAATCATGAGGATCGCGTCACGAGTGCCGGCCACCATCAGATCGAGGCGACTGACCTGCGGAGAGATGTGGGGTGGGGTGGGGTGTAGTGGGGGGGGGGGGTAAGGCGAACCACTGGCGCATGGAGCAGATACCAGGGAAAGAAGGGGGGAGAGGGGAGGGGCAGTCATGGTGCAGGGAGCCGAAGAATCATGTGCCGGCATCGACATGGAGGAAAAGGATGTTGGGTGGAGGGAAATGAGGGGTACTCGGCGCTCAAGGGGTATGTAGGGGCGCGGGCGCGGATGGCCGGCAGCACTTCCCCCTCCCAGCTCATGTACACGTGGGCGCGGGAGGACAGGAAGGCTGCCAACGTGTCGTACCGAGGCGGGTCGGCGCCGGAGGCCGCGGTGGCGGCGGCGACAATGCTGGCAGCGGCGGCGCGGCGGCGCTTGCCTTGCACAGCGCAAGAGCCGCCGCCCGCTCGCCCTCGTACAGGCTGCCCCCAAGGCCGTCAGCGTCGAGGACCGAACTGGCCGAGGGGCGGGCGGCAACTCCGCCACCGTGGCACCGCGTGCAACAGCGACGCACTACCTACTTCTCACTGGTGCCCCCGGGCTTTCAGACCGTCCTCACATCCTCCCCACCCCTCCCCTTCCCTTCCTGTCCCCTCTCTCCCCCCACAAACCCCACCCTCGCCCCCATCCCCCCATCCCCCCATCCCACCTTCATTTGTTCCACTGTGGGGTTTACCACGTACCCCTCATCGGGCAGCAAACCCACACGCACACCGGCCACCGCCTTCTTAAGGGGAATGTCTGCGAAACGGGGCACGAGAGGGACCGGTACGGGAAGCGCCAGTACGGGATTGGAGGGATACCCCGGGGCACGGGTGGCATTATACTGGGGCCCAGATAGCCAGTAGCATTCGGGGGCAGCGCAGTAGGGGGCGGCAATAAAGTTTGTGTTTTTTTTCGCAATAGGTGTGTGCCGAAGCTTCCCCCCCCGGCCCACGGCCGTACGCAACCCCGGGGCTCCAGAGCCCCGCTCCTGTCCTCCCCTCCGCCGGCAAGCCCTCCCTAGCCCTCCCAACCCTAGGCTGCTTCACTCCTCCTTCGCCTCTTGGCTTTGGGCGTCGGAAGTTGATCCTTTGTTTCTTGAACCATGATATGATATCCCCTCCCCCCTGCAGGCGATTAGGCTCCGTGGGCACCTGCTGCAGCGGTATATCGATGGGCTTGCGTGCTTGTGATGGTTAACCCCTTTCCAAACCCCAACTCCAGGGTAGGCGGGTGGAAGGGGAAGAACGCACCGGAGATGAGGAGGGCCGCAGCCGCTGCGGTAATGGCGATGGGCTCCGGGTTGTGAATGCCGTCGTACGACAAAACCCATTCCAGCACCTAAAGGCCCGGGGAGACGGAGGGGAGGGCCATGAGCGGGGGTGGCGGGAGCCGAGTTTTGTGTTTGCCTTGAAGGGAAGGGACGAGGAAAGGAGAGGGGTATGGTTCGCTAGGGGCCCCGCAGTTTGGAAGCGAGGGTCCCCACAGCGCCCCAGGACTCCTGTCAAGCTGTACGTGCTGTACGTGCAGTCGACCGCTACGCTGAACCACGCCCCCTCCTGGCCCCCACCCGAACCCCCTACTCCACCCCCTCTCCCAGGTACTACTCGCCCATAAGCCCACCCAGCCAGCCGCCTGCACCCACCCAGGACACCGCTACCCCCAGCCTCAAGCGGCCCCCATACCCCCATACCCCACACTCACCCTCCTACCCGCCCCGGCAAACCAGGCCCTCCGGCCCCCTCTCCCCCCACTCCCACCCCCACCTGCGTCTCATTCGCCCAGCCCTTTCCGAACATGGGTCGCAGAGGTCGGTCCACCAGCCGGCTCACCAGCACCTCGGAGTCCCGGGGCCGACCATCCCGCTTTACATAGCCACCGCTGAGATACGGGAGGGGCGGTAGGAAGGAGGGGGAAAGCGGGCCGCCCCAAGAAAGGATTTGTGGGATTCAGGGTTTGCCCTAATAAGCTGATCAACACGTCCTGCGCCGACACATGGCCTCCCTTTTACACCACCTCCGGCCATCACCCGTACAAGGGAGCCCCGCCTTCACTTTGTGAATGGTTAGTCCTAGTAGTTCGTCCATGCGCGGGTGGCGTGCGGGTGGTCCGCTTAGGGGTTGTAGCTCATTCCCCGGCTGGCGCCGGGGGTACCGCTGTTCCGTGACGGCCTTTCCGGGACGGGACACCCGTCCCCTCCTTTTCCCCCCCTCCTGTTCGCGGCACCTGGTCCTCCCAGCCGCGCTGAAGCGCTCCGCATAGTTGACGGTGAGGGGCAGGAAGGAGCCGTCCCCAGTGGGGGAGGCGGAGCAACAGGCGGTGGCGTAGATCATGGTCTCGCCACACGTGGCCATCACGGCGCCGTTGGCCTGGCGGCCAATCTCGCCTGTTTCGAGCTTGATGGTCTATTGGGGGTAAGGAGATAAGGTAAGGGCAAGGTGTTTGGGAGTTGCCTGAGAAGGTGCGGTGCTCGGCGTCAGTGGGGAAGGCAAAGAGGGATTTGGGTCGAGGTAAGCGCGTGTAAACGCGAGACGGGGAATATGTGGGTTTGGGCGGCATGAGGCGTAGAACACGGGAGAGGGCTTAAGAACACTGCCAGGTGGACAGACGGTGCGCTTTGGGCGTAATGTAGGAGCGGGTCGGGTTGGCTCGGATAGCAGGACTATTGAGTGAGGTGGTTAGTTGGGGTAGCCATCATTGCTAAGAGTGGTGGTCGGAGCATGAAGACGTTACTGTACGTAACCACTATATTAAATAGTTTTCTATGTGGTTAAAGGCCGCAACGAAAGCGAATGCCTGCTGGCAGTGTTATGCATATGACCGCTTTGCGGACGGCCCGCTACGCCAAGGGCCTCGCTTCGCGCAGTAGCTTCAGGAAAATCATGGAGTAACGAAAGAATTTTAAACCCTTCATTGATACGCACCTGCGTGCTTCCGGTAATTTCAAGTACTATCGCCTCCGCCGTCGGCGCAGCATACGTCGCAGCATACGTGCGCAGATTCGCCTCACTCCGCCGACAGTATACAAGTCCATTCCCGTTTGGCTGAGTTGTATGCAAGCCAGCAGCTGCAAGGTGATAATGTGGGTTGCGCGTTGGGGTCACAAACTGTGCGACGGTTGTGTTTCCGCTGCGTCGCAAGGCTGGCACCTGGCCTAAGCCATATGTTTTCATGGAATAAACCATTTTCCGAGTGCAGGCCCTGACGGCGCTGCGCTAAGTAATGTAGCTTCAAAAGCTGATGGATTGTTTGGAAGCTAACAGTAATGGTAATGTAGGGAAGAATTCGGGCCTGGCAAAGCTTAGGACGTGGCGATTACATTAAAACAAAAGTGTTCGCGCGCTATCGTTGCTCATGGCACATCTGTCATGGTTGCTTGGTAGGTGTTGATAACTAACGACCTGCCAACGAAATTTCGACAAGATCACTGTTGTGGGCTCCTAGCCTGTAGCCTCCCAGACACCACCACAACTCGTGCGGCAGAAAATGCGTACTATGCTAATGCATCGGCTTGGTCAAGTACTTGGTCTTTGTAGCACCAGTATTCCAATCTAAAATTCGTTGACCACTCGAAGGATTATCCCCTTCAGCACGCAGATGTATGTTAATTGCCTCGATGTTCAGACGTGCAGTCAGTGCAGTGGAGAGTACGTAAAGCAGGTTACAAATTATTTTACTGTGGACCCAATCCTGGACCTACAGATGTCAAAGACCGTATGTAGACACAGAACATCCAATCCAAAAACATCCGCATAAACGACAGCCGCTCGTTAAGGCCAAACATATATGGTGTCAAGCATGAAGCATGTCCCGCACAGCCGCGGACGCAAGGGCCGGAAATATCGAACAGAAAACGAGCCCATCAAACACCGTGATGGTTAGCGGACAAATAGTCAGTTCCACTACGCGCACGATCACCGCGCACGTGCATACATTACATATTTAAACAGTCCTGCACGTCCAGGCACAATCAAAGATGTAGAGCACATACACTCTGCGTGCTCGTTTTAAACGGGCGCAAATGGAAAGGAGGCTTAGCCCCTACCAGTCCAGGCACCCTGCACTCAAGGAGAGCGTGAAAGGCCAATCATGCGCTGTGCTCCCCGGACGTCGCCAGGAGCCCTTAGATTCAACCGTCCCTGTGCGTGTTAAAAAATCCTCAGCAGCAATTTACTCCGGCGTCTCGTAGCCCTGCGGGTACTTGGACGCCCAAGCCCATTGGTGCTTGCACATGTCGTCGACATCGTACCTGGCGTGCGGGCAAATGGCCAACAGGTCAATCAATGGAGGCCGTCCAGTTTTGAAACCGAGAAACTGTCCTGCGTGCATGCATTTTCACTTCTGGCACCCAACCAGCCCTTCCCCCTAAGTCGATGATTAGCCTGGAGCTTCCAGGTCAGCCAAGGACCCACCCTTCTCCTTTCCAAAACACTTCCTGCAGCCAGCTCCTCATCTGCGTCCAGGGACTTCAACACCAGGCCCAAGCGGAAGCCTCCAGTTGCCTATCCTACACTTCAGCCTCCCCTACACATCACAGGCTCCGTATGCCACACTTACTTGGACTTCCAGCCCAGCTCCTTCTCCGCCGTCTCCGTGGCCGCCCACACCGCCACCGAGTCGCCTGGCCGGCGATCCATCAGTTTGTACTCGACCTTCTTGTCGCTGGCGGCTTCGAAAGCGCGCACCATCTCCAACACCGAGGATCCTGGGAACCCACGGAACACGTTACGAATACTCACAAAAAAATTTACCAGGGCGAGAATACGTGTACATCAACCCCGGCCCTGAAACCCCTACATGAGGACATGGTGCCACCCAGAGCTGCCTTCTATCTTCCACGACTCACTAAACCGACCCAATTCTTCCCGCCTTGGTCCTGTGGTCGTGCCACGGCTGTCGTGCTCACCCTTGCCCGTTCCCAGGTTAATGGGTGTGCAGCCCAGGTCTGGAGTGGCCAGCACCTTGACCACAGCGCTGACGTGGCCCTCCGCCAAGTCCATTACGTGGATATAGTCGCGAATGGCGGTGCCGTCGGGGGTGGGGTAGTCAGAGCCGAACACGCGCAGGAACTCGCGCTGACCCAGGGCCACCTGTCCAGCCCATGGTGTAGCAGACGAAGTATGGGCATAAATGTCCTGATCAAGCGTTCTTGCTTAAAACTAACCCGCATTTGCCATGCACGCGCCAGCAAACGCAATCTGTCATGCACCTTAATTAAGCTGGGCAAGCCACCTCTTCGGGTGCTGATTGGGAAGCTGGCGGATAAAGGCAGTGGCCTGAACGGGGACAAGCGTTTCTGACACTCATATCGCCAAACCCCAAAACCAACGCCTGATGTGTATACGGAGCACAACCCCTGAACCGCCTTCGCCCCCAGATCTAGTACGGTGCAGGCGCTTCCTAACCCCACCTGCTGGATGTACGGCATGAGGTTGTTGGGGATGCCCACGGGGTGCTCGCCCAGGTCACCCGACGGGTGGGCCCCAATGGGGTTGAAGTACCTGTTGAGGGCGCAGGCCGGGAAAAGAAGGATTTCATGATAACGACCGCAGTGCGCGCGAGTGTACAGGCAATGGCATGTGACTGCCCAGTCGCACCCGCTCTTACCTCAGCAGCAGGATGCGCCACTCCTTGTCGCCGACGGCAATGTCGCGGAACATGTCCTCCTGTGCGGGTGAACCGGAAGAGCATCCAACGCCTCAATAATCCGACTATTTGCAGCTGTCTAGACAGGAGAATGAAGGCGAGTATGCTTCCGCCTGCCCGACAGGGTAGCCAGCGCGCAATGCTGAATCCCGCAGGATCGGTACTCGACACGCATTAAGGCTGTATAAAGTAAAGACTAACAATACAGTGGCGTGCAATATGGGCTTCTTCCTTCAACACATTTGTCAGGTTTCCCACAACCTTCACTATGAAGGTGCGGCTGACGACACAATTGTACTTCACATCTGACGTTTGCGTGAAGTCACGACGCAGGGATCACAGTGCTGACGGGACACAACTCCTCCACGCACGCTCCCGGCCGTGGCAACCCCAGTCATGAGCTCCATAATCCTGAAGCCGGTCGTCAAACGTGCGCACCTGGAACAGCTTCGTACGGCCGTACGGAGAAATAGCCTTCAGGGGGGCCTCCTCCGTGATGGGGACCTTCTCCGGCAGGCCGTACACGGTACAGCTGCTGCTAAAGACCATCTGCAGGGTGGTAGCAGGTGGTAGCAGGTGGAAACCATCAGGCGCCACTACTACTTGGGTGGATAACCCCCAAGCGGAGCCTGATGAGAGCTGTAGCCAGCACCCTTTACTTCGCAGTGTACGGAGGGTAGGTGGATGGAATTGGAAAACTTCAGTGCAGTCCTATGGCCTTTCTGAGAATCTTAGTGCCTACTCGCAACCTACCCACAATGATGCGTCAATCAGGGTGCTTACAGTCAAAAGCTACGATGCACGATGATGCACGAAGTTACCCATTTTACCTTCATCTTGCTATTGCTATCACGCGTGGCCAACTGTAACAAGCACAGACGCGCTTTAGCCCAACGAAAAACGATGGCTGGAGAGCAACCTTAATTTGCGTTAGGTTCTCGGTGCGGAGTTAGCATCCAATGTCCTAACCATGTCGCTTTCCTTCCAACTCACGTTCTTCAGTTTAAACTTCCGCATAACCTCCAGCAGGATGACGGTGCCCACGAAGTTGTTGTGGTAGTACTCCAGCGGCTTCTCCACGGACTCGCCCACGGCCTTGAAGCCGGCAAAGTGAATAACGCAATCAAAGCTGTGCTCGGGAGTCGAAAACGGAAGGGAGGGGGCGTCGGCATCACGCCAGTCAGGGGTCGGGCCACTAGGGGAGCGCAGTTGCTGCGGGGGTAGCAATTTATAAGATTCTTAGCAGGTAACCTTGCTGCGTGGGTGGACGTAAGATTGAATTCGTAACCTCGCAGGCTTACGTCCAATAGGCGCGCATCTAGGCATGGACAGCAGGCCACTCACGTCTCCTTCTCAAAGATCTTAGTCAGGCCTTCTTCATCGTTTATGTCGCACTGCAGGACGAGGGATCATGGGGTAAGGGAAATAAGCAAGATTCACTGCTGGAACCAAGACCCAAGGTGAAGCCGAGGACGGGAGTGTGACATGACGCAGCAGAGTAGGAACGACATACATGCAACTGATGGTACGTGCTCCTGTAACAGTCTTCTAATCCATTGGCCAGGCTACGCCATGCGTAACAGAAGGTACACCATCGCGGCTCATGAGAAACCCTGGCACTTCCGTGCATTGACAGTAGCAAAGCATCCGGCAATTTGCAAGAGCAAGTTCCAATAAGCTGAAAGAGTAACAAATTGTGCTATGCAACCAAAACTCGAGGGTAAGGGTTCCCAATCAACTCGGCCTCTTTCCCCGGTACTCCCCGCTGCGCTGGAACCCCCACCAGTTTTGGTCCAGGTCTGCATACCTTGGTGTAAGTCATCTTATCAGCTTTGTCACCAGCCAGCTTTTTCATGTGCTCAAACACACGCGGGAAACTGTTCGAAAGGTTGTCGATAAGATGCACCTTAGCTCCATGGTCCAGCAATACCAGGACTGTGTGGCTGCCTGCGGACATGTATCCCAAGTTTTACCATGACAGGTAGTGTTTAGAGAGCAGTGGTGAAAAGCTACTGTTAACGAGTCAGTTGCTAAGTGCGATCTACGTTAAAGATCACTCGTCGAAAGGTCTACCCAACCTATCATGACAGCTGTGACCCACCGATGAAGCCAAGGCCACCAGTCACGAAAATGTTCTTGCCCTCAAGAGACATCCTATCGACAATGTTCAACTCAACACAACTACACAGGAAAGGTCTCCTAAAGAAAATTCTTGTAGTTACGACGCGTGATAATTGAACGCGTCGCAATGTCTAAGAACACAGGCCATCGCTGCAGTTGCTCTTACAATTGGCTTGACCGGACAGCCGTACGACGGCCAGCGACGAGCGACCTCAAAATGGAACCCGTTAGGAAAGGTCCTTTCTCTTGCTCCACGGGGCTATCTCTACCATTTTTTCTGGTGAGCAAGGATATGTTTGCAATTGTTTATCTGCTCTCCGTTAGCGACGGCGCCTGCCGGCGGCGCTGCAGTCCGGCACTTACTGGGCATTTGGTTGTCTCGCAGAACCTCTAGGACAGAAGACTTGGGAGGCGTTTTCAGCCGAGGACCAAAATGTCTGACGGGTAAGTTTACAGGTGGCAGGATGGTCTCTTGCCATGGAAAGTTGCATGGACTTGGATAAAAGTCATGGCAGTAATGTATAACATGTATGCATGCTCGCACTGAATACTAATGTCCGGACGCCTCGGAGCTTTAGTCTGTCTACAGCAACAAAGCCCACGACTTTGTCGCTTCCTTTTGCTCATCATAATGTTGTATTGTTACCTCCTATGTTGCTTGCAGAGAGGCTGCCCCCGCGGTTGTGGAGGAGGCCGCCGCCCCCGGCGAGCCCATGGACATAAACACGGCCGTGCAGATGGTCCTGAAGAAGGCCCTGGCGCACGATGGCCTGAGCCGTGGTCTGCATGAGGCATGCAGGTACGAAGCAGTTTGAATAATGCTTGCCGGTGATCTGCTGTGTTTGCGGTTGCCCATATTATTACCCGCACCTATGTCACCAGCTGGTGATCCAGCTGGATATCCTCGGCATGCATGCAGCCTAACCCACCTGTGTAAGACTACCACCCCTTTGTGGGTACTATTCCCTACACATACTGGACCGGAGAGATGAAATGATACGAATCCATCATCCTATCATGGCGTGCAGGGCCATTGAGAAGGGCCAGGCGCAGCTGTGCATCCTGGCCGAGGACTGCAACCAGCCTGACTACAAGAAGCTCATCGAGGCCCTGTGCGCTGAGCACAACGTGAACCTGATCTCCGTGCCGGAGAACAAGCAGCTGGGCCAGTGGTGCGGGGTAAGTTATGGGTTTGCTCCTTGGAAAGGTCAGGTGGGCGGTTGATTGTAGGCGGTCCTTTGATGGTTGCGATGGCATCTAAACGTATCTGCATGTGCCAAGGCACAAGGGCGCGCCTCAATGGCAGGATTTTGGCCTTAGTCGGAGACTGACAACTGCTTCCTCGGTTACCTCTGTTGTGCAGCTGTGCAAGATCGACCCCCAGGGTGAAGCCCGTAAGGTGGTTGGCTGCTCGTGCGCCGTCATCACCGACTACGGTGAGGAGACCGCCGGCCTGTCGATGCTGCAGGAGTACCTCAAGAGCCGCTAAGCGATCCCTAGCATGGGAGAACCCGGCTCCTGAGCGCGGCAAGTCCATGCAATGGCGTTACTCGGTCATTGTGACAGCTGCCGGTCGACCGCATAATCACAAGTGACTCTCGTCTGCCGCACGAATTTCCGGCCGTAGCATGTGGGTTGCTTGTAAGGTCGGGCTATGGAATTGGCGACACTTGCCTTGTGTGTTTGGTTCCCTTCCACGGTTTCTGACAAGCCGACTTAAGGTAACCTTGGAAACCTTAAGTCGATGACTTTGGCAGGCGAACGCCATAGTTCAGATCCAGGAAGATACTAGTCACAACCGGCCCAAACCTCCGGACGAATTGTAGCCAAAAGGCGTGTTTCCAACAGTTGGAACTGAAGGTTTGGGTTACTAATGCACTGCACTACGTACATGCACACAGATGTCATCCATTTCCAGAATGAGATCCAACTTATACACTTATGTGTACCACTTATCGTGCAGCATTTCTATAATATCACACCGTTAATTAGTCCTCAGCATATGTAATCTCGCACCATACATCAAGAGAAAGTGATGCGAAAGCGATGTTCCCGCGTAGAACACCATGTGTTGCCGTACGTGCGCTCATACTTCGGTATGAGAGTACGCTGTCCCCATATGCGTCACCAAAAAGCTTCCTACCATGAAATCATATCCAGTTGCCCGTGTGCGGTCAATGTTCCTGCCGCCATGCGCTCCAAAAGTTGAGTCGTCATATATGTGCAGCAGGCCAGCAGATGCGGTAATTATGTAGGGGGAAGCCCCCTGCGGTACACGTGCAGGCGGCGTTGCTCCATCAAGCTATTGCGTGATTTCACCAGATCTCACTCATGCCATGCTTTGGAACGCAAACCGACTTGACCTCGGCCAGCAGGAGTCTCTTCCTCTCCTCCTGCCTAACCGACATGGCCATAATAGATGCCACTCGGTCTGGGCGGCCGTGCTCATTCAGCCACGCAGACAGCTCCGGCATCTGCGGAGGTGCAACACATGCAACACATAGCTAACCTCGGTGCCAGGCTCACTTCATCCCATAATTACCCCTTATTAACATGCACATAATGGTGCTGGTGTGTAATATGTGATGCGCGGTCATCTGCGGTTTAGTTTTAGCGTCCTTCAGCTTCAACGTCCCTCAGCTTGAGCCTATATAGCGTGGGGTGCTGTCATGGTCATCCTTTCGAATCCGCTGCAATTCAATTAATTCATGAGACTGATGTAACCATAATCGTATGGCTAAACAGAATCACAAGGGTATGAATGCGCGACTGAGGCGCCTGCTGGCCTTGAAAGTGGAGACTCAAAAGATACAGCTACGCATAGCAATAGAGGCCCGACCGCCAGCGCATAACCCCTATCGTTTCGACATAGGCAAACCAATGAGCATTTTAGTCCACTCCCTGCCCATAAGCAAAGTTCTACGTACCGTCATGTGGCGGATGTACCTGGGCCACCTGGGCGCACTTCGCCGCCGCGGCTGCTGCGATACTGACCGCCAGCGACCTCCCAACCACCATATCAGGTGGTACACCAAGACAGCGCCAAGCCATGCGCCGTGGAAACGGGAAAGCATCATCTCCAGCGCTTCACCCATTACGCGCTCGACTTTTGTGTCGGTGCATGATTGTCAAGTCGGATGAAGTCCGGGCACCGACATATGTAAACATAAAGCGATGCATACCCAGGGGGAACGGCGGCCGGCATGGGACAGCATTTTGTGAGGGCTCCGGAGGCGGCAATTGCACGGGGAATACTAGTGTACGTATGGCCGTTAGTGGTCGCCGGCAGCAAGCTTGTTACTAACCGTGACCCCGCGCAATGATGGATGACACATGGCAAGGCCGCATTACGGGTACGAGTTTCCATAAGGCCACTACGCCGCCTTACGTGCATAATCCCGTTTCAGCGTGTTTCAGCAGATCCGTAATCCGTGTTTCAGCGCCCTTCTGATATTTTCCTATTTCTGCCTGCATATATGGATAACCGATCCTTGTCGTAGTCATACACTTGAAGGATATAGTTCTCCACCCCAACTTTACAATGGTTAGGCAGGTCAGCAGGTGCGCGCCAGGAGATACAAACAGACGGACATGCAACAACTGCGGTCATCAGCCAGCATATTAACCGACTTACCGGCCCCGTTCTTAAGAGTCACACCCGAGAGCAGCAACGACTGATGTGCAAACACGCGTACTGCTCTGCATAGATCTCTCCAGGCAGCCCAAATGCAGCTTTCAGGCGCCAAGTGTCTCGATTTTGCTAAAGGCTGCAGCGGCGCTGATTTCATACTTGCCGCCGCCAGTGATGCATGACTGGTGTTCCCACTATTTAGCAATTGCTGCGGCTGCTGCGGTGTTTGGCGTGATACTGGGACCGAAGATGATGACGAGACAGCCGGCCAGCCCACGAATGGGGCCGCGGGCGGTGTTTCAAAATCCGCTTGTCGTTGGGGCAATGATAACGATGAGGCGATGAAATGCATGTCAGTCGCAACGAGCATTACTCCGAGAACGATGATGGCGACGACGACGGCAGTAGCAACGGTCCCGATGCCTAGACCACCTGCAGTAGTCACAAAGCGGGCATAAAAAATTGCAGAAGTAGAGGCACACAAAGCCACACCCTAATGAGAAAGTAAGTGAGGCGCGCGAAATTGGTGCTTCGTTACTTGGCATCAGCCTCGGACAATAGCACAGTAACTTTCGCCTGTCTTCTCACTGCGTTTTTTTGGAAACTGGCATTGGCGTGGGTTTGTCCTTGATACTCTTACGGTACTGCTAGAGGTTTAGTGCGGTGGATGACATGGTGGCGTGGAGGGCCTGTGTGTGTATGTATGTATGTATGTATCCATAAGATATAGCCTTCTTAACAATGACAGCTGAAGGTACATCAATGAACGGCTGGGAGGAAATCCCGTGCGCACTCACCTAAAGGTACGTAGCGGCGGCGAAGGGCAACCTTGAGCTCTTGGGGCTTCGAGGTTGACACCACATGCCCTCCAGGCGATATTGCCCCCTTGGAGGCCTCTGCCTCCCCTTCCGGTGAAACCCGCTGACCGGCGCTACCCCTAATTGATTGCACCGAGCTCGTTGTCTGAGCTCCAGGGGCGGATTCCCATTCCGCACTCGCCGCCCCAGAGCATTGCGGCTCGCCACCACCAGGTTGCGACAAGCTCCGCAACACAAGTTTTACCTCGGGAACTGGGGCCCCAAACCCCGTCAACCACCGCGTCTCAGCCTGCTCCGCCCCCCGCACTGCTTGTACTGGCGGCCCAGCTTGACCCGCCTCCACCAATGCGGGGTTCGGCGCCCCACCTGCCATTGCTGCCGGCGGCATGCCGTTGTCGACAGTCCTTGCGTGATGAATGCCCTCGCAGGCAAGCATTTGGATGACTGGGAAAGCCAAGTTCACAGCCGTGGCTACATCCTCCAAGGGGGGATCGATGCTGCAGCCGATAACCGCATCCAGAACGTCTTCAGCGCAGTCTCGAATTAACCGCAGACGGTCGACCTGCTGCTTCACGCTAGGATCAAGGGTCACCTGCTGGGAGTGAATGCGGTATAACTGTCTCAACTTGATACCCGAAGGTTGTTGCATTGCGGTTTACGGAGGACGGCGTTCACAGCCCAATCGTTTGGTGGTAAGGTACCTCGCTCATGCCTCACCATTATTGCAGGCGGCGCTTGCTTCTCGCAGCGTGAAGTTTTGGGCGTGGAAGCAAGAGTATGGCTTGAAAACTGAGATAGCAGGTGCAAGCCTCTGCATGCCGAGCCCTGGAGCGTTTGAAACGATGCGTTTGGCGAAAATTCTGGTCAAACTTCAAATATATAGTGGTACATGTTTTTGGATAACGCTACAGACGTAAGCGGACACCATAGAGACCAGCAGTTGCTCGGTTTACTCGGTCGTCGAGGTCGTCGCCGTACCACCCTCCAAAACCTACCAGGGACGGAATACATTTGGGGCGATGTTGGAACTGTGCATTTACACGTAAAACCCTTAGTGCTCTGGCGACGCATTGAGAACTAGGGTTACTAATAGCAGGTCCAGATAGCATGAGTAAAACTACTGGGAGGAAAATCTCGGTCCATTTACTGTGACCTGACACCTCATGAAACTCACGTTCCCGATCATGTCGAAGGTGTTCCCCAGGAATCGTACACAGGACCTTACCCCGCAAAACTATCCTTACCTATTAAAATGTCTAAATCTTAAACCTAAAACCCTAAACCCTGCGGATGGGTTTGGATCCGCAGCTGTTTGTTAGGTCGATCAGCTGCCGTGGTTCTTGTTGGCTATAGGTTGTCCATTACAGCATTCTAGTTCGGATCCGAGCTCTGATAGGTTGTGGCTCGATAAAAACATAATAATGCTAGGATTCGCCTTGGATACGGAAACATTTGCTCTTACAATATGCGATGGAGGGAGGAATAGGGGTCAACCTCATACAATGGTAGGGCCTCACACCAACTGCAAACAAATTGAATCAGGAGTATTCTTCCCTATACCGCCCATGTGCAATACTAGCGAGTTGCTCGGCTAACGTGCCATTAAGTCGTAAACATACGCACAAGCACAATTAAACTGCCAGTCCCATTAAGCTTCGTTTTCGAGATAACAGCATCAACTCCACCTGCACCACCCTAGGCGAAAACCAAGACGCAGAGTTCATTGATGAACCGATCCCGCGGCTATCTTCCACCCAATTACAAGCTCCACTGTAACTTCCGCGTTCGGTATCTTTGCAACAGTTCAAATATCTGTTATAAACATAGGGAAGGAAGCACACGAATTTATGTACATGGGAAACACACGCGCTCTTTTCATCTGGTACATGTTTAAGCACAATGCAAGAGCTCCTCCATTAATACACCGCGACAAACACATCCTGTGCTAAACCATTGTTCAGGAGAGGCGAGCCCACTCCAACCCTTGTAATAATCAGTAACTATGTTAAAAAAGGTGGAGCCATACGTGTGCCATATACTCATGCCACAGCACGCAGCATGCTTTCCATAAAATTCCGAAATTTAGCATTTGAAATGTGCATTGTACGGCGCTAGGAACTGAAACTCAACGGCGAGCTGCCGCCCAGCGAACCACCGACCGTTCATGGCTGCTTGAGCTGCTGACGCCGCCTCGACACTGCCGCACTTGAGGTAGACGCAACCCTGCAAACGGGGATGGGATAGGGGCAAGTGCCGCCGAGGGCAGGCAAAAGGAATCACGGTTAGCACCCCGCATTGGATATTTCCAGAGGACGGTGTAACCGCAGCGCGCCACGTATAGAAGCAGCGGCGAATGCACACATGTATAATAATACATAAAGCGACGAGTGCGCCAACCCGCAGAGTTTTCCACGTAACGCCGGGTCTAACACAGCCCCAAAACCAAGGATGCGTGCCGCGCACGCCCATGCCTACGGCAAAGGATGTATGATGTGAAGCAGAAGCCACGTGGCAATGGTCCTGTGGCACAGACTTGAGCTTTGGAAGGAAACCTGCGCAGAATCGGGTTCATGCTGCCCAAAGGTGTTTCTTGCAGCGTGTCGAACGCCTGCATCGTGTCGGCGTATATGATAAACCTGCACGTAACAAGATCTCCAAGTTTGGCTGCTTGCAACCCGCCCAACATGCTTTTTGGACCCTGAAAGCTTTGATTGCTCGTTGTTTTGCCGCTGCTGCATCGACGGAAGTGTAAGACCTGCAAAAGGAAAGACAACACCACGCGCACACAGAACGCATGCGAGACTGGGAGCCAGCCACAACCCTCATTCCACGAACACCGTGGGAGGCAAAGACCTGCGGACAAGCGCCAGCCCGGCGGGGGGCTTTTAACGTACGAAATCTTCTTCCACGATTCTTATAGGAGCAAGACATGTAACAGAACGCGCTCTGCACAACCGTCACACACCGTCACAGCCCGGCACACGCGTTGAAACCAAAACGCCGGTGTGGACATTTCTGGATGCAGCTGGCGACACTGGAGTAGTAGGTCGAGAGCAGCTGGGGCCAGATCGCTGACCTGACGGAGGGCTTGGCACTTACCTGGTGGGCCACGCCAAGCTATCATTACCTGACCCGGGCGAGCCACCCCGTAGCACAGGGGCGCGCCCGAGTTCGGGCGCTGATGCTCGGCAGCAGCAAGCATTCCGGCAGCGGCACAGCACTGCGTGTGATTGCGCATGTGACAGATTCAGCTTTCTTCATTTGTCTGAACGTGGAGGTTAAGGGTCCGGTTTCCTGCCATGGAAGCTATGGCGGCTTTTGTGCTGGAGCTTTATTTTTCCCATGCAAAACCACCACTCTTTTCAGCCGGTTTTCCGGCAACAAGTCACGCCGCACCTTGCTGGACTTGTCTACGTGAATGTGCACAACGGCACCGTACTTGGAGCACTCGTCCTGCACATCCTGTGCAATTTCCTCCGCCCAGTCCTGCCCCATCTCCTCCTGCGCGGCCGCCGGGTCGAACATGTTCTTGATCAGCAGACAAGGCGTAGGAATGGGGGACGCCGGTCCCAGCACGCTCTGAATCAGCCCCAAGCTCGGGTCCAGCTTGGGCCCAGCAAGAACCGCTGGCGCCACCGCCAAAGCTGGTACGCTAGGGACCGGCAATGCGGGCGCTACGGGCTGCAGGCCTGCCGACGAAGCCAATCGAGCCATCAGAGCCTGTCGCCGGTCCGACGTGAGCTTCAAGCCGCCACGGGCTTCCTCCTCATCAAGCTCCCCTACGCGACAGCGGAGCAATAGCACTGTTCGTGTGATGCCGAAAAACCGAATGCAGGATCCCTTCTTCCATTTCCATGCCATGTACAGCAGCAAGGCTAGGTAACAACTGAAGGGAGCTGTATCGAAATTACAATTCCATCGGAATCACAGTTTCAAAACGCCGATGTACTTACCGATGCCGGAGTTGTAGGCTTGCTCCGGTGCCGCAGGAGCCGCAGTACCTGCCGCGGATGGCGGTGCAACAGGTAGACCCATGCCTGGCACAGCAGCTCCTGGCACCGCCAGCCCAAGCCGGGTCGCCAGCTCCTGCGGTAGCGACAGGGGAACACCGCCTGGCGCCCCAGCTGCGCCGGGCAGCTGCAGCGCTGCACCTCCAAGACCACCTGGCATGATTGGCGGTGGTGCAGGCAGGGCGCCTGCTGGTGCAGCTGCAGGCGCATTCGGGGCTGGTGATACTGAGGACACGGACACCTTGAGCGCCGACCCTGCAACCACTCGGCCGTTCCAGTGCTCCACAGCCTTGGTCGCGTCCAGTACGTTTGCATACGTCACGTAACCGTAGCCCTGGGCGGCAGACCACAAGTCAAAAGAAATTGCGAAAGGTTCAAGTAATCCCAACGAGATCAAATTTGGCTGCTACGGCCAGCATCCGTTCCGGCCTTGCAAATACGCCAGGTCCACTATGCTCCCACTCTACGGAAGACACCGTGTTCGCACAACCCGATACAGACAGACATCCCGCAAGGACTACATTAAGGGCATGTGTCAGGCATCCTCTGTACGAGCATGCAGGATGGCAAATCGCACCCTCTGGGTTGATAGACATAGCCTTTCATATTATGCCGGACTCTTGGTGCGCTAATGCCTGTGCGACTCCGTTTCACCAAGCTCTTCCACTTCCGTCACATGATCATCAGCCTCACCTGGGACCGACCCGTCGCGTCCCGCACGAGCTGCACGTTATCAATCTGGCCAAATGGTGCAAAAAGCTGCTGCACGTCTGCCTCAGCGATGGCCGCGTTAAGGTTTGCAACATACAGCTTGCAGGGCCCCACAGGCAGCGTGTCGTTGGGTCCAGTGACACCAGCTGCGCCAAGAAGGCTGGCCGCCTTCAGCTGGCTCTGCTTCGCCTGCTGCTGGGCTTCCTGTTGTGGCAATAACAGCGCGAGTGTAAGCCTAAACTTAAGTCCTAACCACCTTGTAGCCACAATTTGCCTTAGGTAAATTGAAACGTTGACAGCCCAGCATGTAATCTCTTTTCAGAGCCACAACCAAAACCCCACAGAGTGCAGAAGGCGCAACCCATGCTCAAGACTACATGTCCACGCTTCACGCCATCACCTAGCTAGATAGGTGCTCACCCAGGCAAGATTCTTCTCGTGCTCCGAACTCTTGACCATTATTGCCTGTCCCATAAACACCGTGCCAGTGAGCGCCACAGCAGCAATCACTTCTTCCACCTTGCTGAACTCGATGTAGGCAAAGCCCTTGCTCCGCTTTGTCGTCTTGTCTGTGATAAGTTTAATGTCCACGACCTTTCCGACCTACCGGGGGAATGTCCAGCAAGCAGTAAAGCGAAGTGAGGTCATACGGTGTGCCAGAAAGGCTCGACGTGAGACGGCGACAACCCATCAAAAACATGCCCTTGCATTGATGTATTCAGCCCAGCTGAAGGTAATGCCTAGCTGAAGGTATTACCTTGGAAAACAGTTGGTAGATGTCGCGCTCATCGGCCTTCAGGTTTAGGTTGTAAGCGAAGGCGGTGCGGGTTGAGCGCTCCATCTCCCGCAGTTCCTGTTAGAAGTGAATCGGCGTATTAACATTTCAGGTCTTTGCGTAGCACGCCCCTGAAAGAGTCCCCCCTCACCTTTTCAGCCTCCCGCGCAGCTCGCACTTCCGGCGGCGTCCGCTCTCGTTCGCGCCTACATAGGCACATAACTCTTTATGTCGGTAATGGATGACTGTGATATTGGCCATCGCGCCACATGGCTCCTGACCATGTTCAACAAACCCTCCTGGAAACTTTAGCACTTGGCAGCCTTGTTGAACCAACCAAAACATACCTCCTTTCAAAGGTGGGATCACTTCGCCTGCCACGGCCGTCGAAGTCTCGCCTAGGCTCTCGTTCGGGATCTCGCCGGTCTCGTCGGTCCCGCTCGCGGCTGCGGTCACGTTCCCTGCGCTCGCGGTCATCCCTCCGGTCCCGGTCATCTCGTCGATCCCTATCATCCCTGTCACGTCGTTTGTCCCGGTCACGGCTACGGCTCCTGCTGCGCCGCCTCTCGCGGTCCTTTTCCCGGTCTTTATCGCGGTCCTTGCCAGTACGCTCTCGGCTATCCCGCCTATCTCTTGGACGATCCTCTGTTCCATTTGTTCCAACTTGTGCTGGCCCAGGCGCAGAAGCTGGCCCCTCAAGCTGCTGTTCCAAGTAGTCCCAGTCCGCGTCGGCCATGGCTCACTGGTAACCGCGAATACAAATCAAGGAGCTGGAAGAAAGCAGAACGGAAACAGTAGTTAACTCTTACAGTCAAAAGTGTATAAGGTCGATGCGTTGAAACTTTTACGTTGTTACTGACGTACGCTTCGGTCTTCAGTTTACTAGGTGTTCCGTTGATTTACTTGGATCCATCGCTTCAAAATCAGACCATGTAAAAAGCAACCGCTGTGTCCTCAAGGTGTGGAACTGCAACTCTCACCAGCGAAGCCTACATGATGCCTACTTGATGCCTACTTATCCCCAATACCTGTTGCGAAATCACCTGCCGGAGAGGCTGTTAAGATATAGGCGAGTGGAACTGTGTAGGTAAAGCCAACCTTAACCGTTACAGGTATCACAGAACAAGCTTTCAGTCAGAACATCATCTCCTTTATACCAAACATTCCATCTTATCTGTCGTACAGCCGTTAGTGTTCTGGCCGGAAGTCAACACTCCCCCTCGGACGGAACACTCGGGCGAATCCAACTCAACGAACACCCAGCCCTTCTCGAAACTGCACGAACTTCCCTTCCGGTAACGGCTTCGTGAGGATATCCGCTACCATGCTGGTAGTGGGACAGTACTCAAACTTCACCTGCCCCATAGATACCCTCTCACGCACAAAATGATGAATCACATCGATGTGCTTCGCACGTTCCGAAACAATCGGATTCTTTATCAAACTTAATGCTCCCTGGTTGTCACCCCAGATACGCATCACGTCGATCTCACACCCAAACTCGGGCAGAAGTTTCCTCAGCCAGAGCGCTTCGCGAGTAGCTAGGGACGCCGCCATATACTCGGCCTCCACAGTCGATGCTGCTACAGTCGGTTGCAACCGACTCTTCCAGCTGACGGCTCCACCGCCAAGGATAAAGGCATATCCAGTTGTCGAACGGCGGTTGTCTCGATCCACTGCCCAATCCGCATCGGCATAACCCTCAATTGCCTTGCTGTCCCTGGCAAAACATAAACCGAAACTCGCAGTCCCCTTCAGATATCTCAGGATATCCTTAGCAGCCTCCCAGTGAGCCT